CTTCAAAACATGTACTTTAATGTAAAAATGTACTTTTCAGCTGAATATATTCCATATTGATGTCGTTCATGCGTCAAAGTGCATGGATAACGACCGTTTCGGAAAATATAACATTCTGAAAACGAATTAGAAATGATAGTGTAATCAGGATATCCACTTAGAAGTTTAAGATTTCTCTGGCGTAATTCCACTACATACTCGAAAAAACGTAACAGTATAATAGCAAAACCATACACTTACCTCTAAACAATGCCACAACAAATGCAGAAAGCAACTAAGTATTTAATTAAGTAAAGCAAATTACGTTATTTGAAGTTATTAAATAGATCGTTACAATTCTTCTTTACTCACGATGATGCAGATCTTCCCCGCCTTTTCAAATATTGCTAATATCCCAAGATGGAATATAATTAAATTGTAATTAAATTAAATTGAATGTGCTTTAGGCAAGCCTGCACACGTCGTCCAAAACGTCCCTACCTGCGGGGATACGAAAAAGTGAGATTATCCGTGTCACTCAGGTCATACCTGCTGAGGAATGCATTCGGGTCATTGACGTCAACTGTGCAGGTTTGACTACAGCGCGATGCTGGCCAAACCTGAAGCATAAATGCTCTTTGTAATTACAGGTTTCCCATCAAGCTGAAGATGCCATTGAAGGTGATCTATTTTCCATTCAACACTATAAAAGCATATTCAATTAAAATAGTACCATGGATGCTCGACCTACACGGTGAGCGCTGAAAACATCGTTTTATATATATACAACAAATGACGGCCATTTTGATATGAGACGAGCCTTTAAAATGACACTTATGGGAATACTTTATATATAGATACATTTTAAAAGTGAAATCATTTGAGTTGTTGAGATTACTAAAATGTGCCATCAATGTATTGCCAGGCACACACAAATGGACGGACAGACAAGCAGGTGTTTACAAAAGCTCACCCCATGTTAGCTGAAAAGGCTCGTCATAATTACAAAAGTAATTTGACAATTCATTTTTGTTTATCCTATGAAAAATTAATTGTGAAATTCCAAGATGAAGCATTTCAACAATCATCCTTATTTTTCCAAGCAACATTGTTCATTCATGTGTATATAGTGAAACCTGTATACGAACTCATCTCTTATCTAAACACCTCTCAATGTGGATACTTTTTCTCGGTCCCAAATTTTCTATTGTTCTAACATGTTTATAAAACCTTGAATTGTGAACACCTGCTTATCTGAAAACGTTTGGTCAATCCCAGAGGACAGCATAACATAAAAGCTTTCTGGGAAACTGCACTGCATCAAATAATATATAACAACCTACTTTATCTGAGAAAAGGATCATTTAATGTAATAGATACATTACATTACATGCATTATGCTGTAACATTTGAAAATGTCAACTACATATTGATATTTAACAGTTACATTTTATCTGACAAAGATGGGAAATACCACAGATTATCCAACTTTATAACACTATATCTGCCACACAAATAATATACTATAGTCTGCTCAATTAGCAACTAGAAAAACAGCAACTCCACGAGTAGCAAATCCCACTTAACAAAACATATTTTGATTATTTGTGGCCGTCTTGAATTTCCTTCTTGAGCAGAGCTTGTTTGTCCCTAGGCATCAATATATAAAATGCAAACCATATCCGTCAATTGGCATTTGAGTTATCAAAGATTACATTCCCTTTTTACGAAAAATGGCAGCCATTTTGAAATTCAGCCGCCATTTTGGAAATCTTTCTCGAACAGAGCTACTGTGTCCCTAGGCATCAGCATATATTTGAACAATATCCATTGACTGCTATTTGAGTTATCAAAGATTACATTTTTTTACAAAAAATGGTGGCTATTTTAAAATTCAGCTGCCATCTTAAAAAAAATTCTTTGTCAAACAGAGAACTGTGTCTCTAGATATCATCATACTAAATTTGATCCAAATCCGTTCACTGGTATTTGAGTTATCAAAGATTACGTTTTTACGAAAAATTGCCACCATTTTGGTATTTAGCAGCCATTCTAAAAATCTTTTCTTCAGCGTAGCTCCTTTATCCCTAGGCATCAGCATATAAAATTTGAATCAAATCCGTCAACCAGTATTTGAGTTATCGCCCGGACAAACGGACGGAAGTCTGCTGCTTGTACTGCTACTTTTGAGGAACTTTAAACTTGAGAATATTTTTATTCTTTTAACTTTGTTCTTCTTATTTGGTATTTATTTTATTCTTAGCCATGTGGACGGACGGCTTTCCTATATCCCCCTAGAACTTAGTTCGGTGGGATAATTAATAAAAATCGTAGTACTACGTTATGCTGTCCAGTCGTAATTGTTAGCAATATGGTAAAATGCAACAGGTAGATCTGGCCACACTCTAATGTCTGTGACAGGTCTGCTCTATTATAGAATAAATTCATATCCATGGAAACACTGCAATTAGTAATCAATTATATGTCAGTTGAACTTTGTTTAATTATCTAATTCATTTTTCTTAAGTATATTCCAGCTTCAATCCGAAGGTTAGGAGTTTCTCCAAATGCAAATGGAGAAGTAGGATATATACTAGATACACACACTGCTTCATTTCAAAGTCAAGAATGGCCAATGAAATTCCTCTATATCTGGTTGTTTCCTCCAACCCATGGCCATGAAGAATTTGGTAAATCACAATTTGTTCTGCATTCACAGCAGCCTGCTGCGGTAGAGAATTGAAGAGCACATGTTATCATTGCTAGCTCAATGCAGGTTTCTTCAAGAGCTAAACACCTAGAAAGTATTGAGAACATTAAATCAAAATATATAATCATTCCAATTAAACTTGTAAAAATTCATGATTCTTTTCTTCATTCAATCAGGTACTGTTTAGGTTTTGTTCATTTTAAGTCCAATTTCTGCGACTGTCATACTTACTCGTTGTCTTGTTGCATTTCGGAACATGTATCAGCTCCTTCTGCCTGAGATAATTTTAGAAGCACTATACCAAGCAGAATCAAGAGAATTGGCTTTCGCATCATCTACAAAACCAACACAAAGTGTTCTTATATTTTAAATAATTTTCATCTGCAAGACAAAGGTACAAGTCAAAATGTTCCAACTGTAACGTCAACAGCGTGAAGATGCATCCATGACAAGATACAAAATGATTTCATTAGAACACATTTGAAAATTAACAAGTAATTGAATTATGAATTCGAGTATTCACTTCATCTCCAAAAAATATTTTCTTATTCTAATAGTGCCATAAAATAATGTTACTAGGTTACTAATTTAAATAAAAAATACAACATATGATGTAAAAAAACAAGAAGTGTAGCAAATTATAATATAAAAAACAAACTTGAGTATTCATTCAAAAAACATCCCAAAAATAGATAAAAAATTGTGAAATGGTCCACTTTCCCCTCTGGGTATATTTATAAGTGGCTATTGAGTATTATTACATAAAAAATGTTAATGTAACTAAAATAAAAATAAGATAAGAACTATAATTAAAATAAGATATTTACCTTTGAACTGTGCCCCATTGAATGTGCAACCAATGTGCAAACCATCAAACTAACTGTTGAAGTTAATTGAACTTTACAGTTATAAGCCTCCAATAATTATTCTTATAGAAACTCGTTTATGCTAATCTCTCTCTGAAAATTCCAGTCTTTGAAGGTTAACTAATATAATTTTAACAAGGTGTTTTGTTTAATTTAATCAAATTCTTGATAATTAAAATTATTGTCATTTCGATTTGTCTCTCACAATATTTTTCACCACTGTCTGTTTTTATACCAGTGTATGTCAAGTTATTGATTTGAATATGTAGGTGACCAATGTTACAATTTATTCCTCTCTATAATGAGTACCAGGGATTTTTAAACTTTCAAAATCGAAAGACTTCAAGGTTGAGAAAACAGGATATTCATTTTAAAATTCGAATAAAGAAATGTTGCTTCAAAGTGGGAGTAGGAGATTTACAAATAGTAAAATGGAGGAAACCCACTCTCTATCAGTTCTGTTTATCAAGAAACACGATCAACCTCCAACCAGATTTTATTTTGAAACTATTCTGATGCAGTAATGATCAAATCCATGTACTATGGGATTTAAGTGACTATATAAGAAGCTATTTGACCTTTCTGATTGGAGATCTCATATTCAGTTGATAATCCGGTAGATTTATCCCAACTCCTACGAAGACTGTCATGACCATTTGCGTTAAAAGAATATTAACCAATGATAAGAAATATATATCTTAGGAAAAATTAAATTGTATTGATTTTTGAATTGCAATTACAAAAAATCATAATCCATTGGTTTAAATGGAGATGAACATATTGATTATTATTCGTTACAGAAAAAGGATTCCACAAAAACATGATCATCAGAATTAAGACTATGGTATATCATAAGATAATGTGGGTGGTGTTGAGCTACATGTATTTACAACATATGACATGTAACATTTTTATCCATCAAGGACTCCGATGAACTATACTGGTGGCCATAAAATGGGGAAACTGCATCATTCTTAAAAACATATAAGATCACATAAATGAACCATGTGTAGCATATACCAAAGGATGGGGATGTGACAAGCTTTAAAATGGTGTATTCATATGTCACCAACTTTATATCACGATATATAAAGTAAATCTTACAAAAATAGATTAAAAAGTTACAATATTGATAAAATGTTGCTTAATACACTCTACTATACCTTGCATTTGGTGTTCATAAGCAACCCATTTGGCTTATGTAATGATAATGTTATTTGGTTTTATTTGTCTGATCCTTATTAATGGTTTATCGGATGACTGTTAGATGTTAAAAAGGTAATTTCAAAATTTTACTAAACAATACAATTAGACAAACCGAGTATCTTATGCATATCTAGATATTAGGTATAGTAGAGTGTAATATACTGAAGACTCATCGTGGTAAGCCACACCCTCTCCATCTCTATCCTTCTGGATAGGCTCTGCGATGCAACAGAGAAAGATGATATGAGTATCAGAATGCTGAAGACTACCTAGACACATCTTGGGTTCAGCAAAGACAATAAAAAAATTATAAAACATACATCATTTGACTTGAAATTGGATATAAACATCCTCAAATGTTAAGACTTAACACTCAATTATTTTCATGACATTTGGTTCTTTTGTACATCTTTAAATAGAATATATGTGAGGTTTCATTTTTATTGGCCCACCTTGTATATCAAAAATAAGATTCATGTTATTTACAGAAATGTACAAAATAGCTCCAAAATGGCAAAATGATATTAAGTAATCTGATAATACACACTATAAAAACTAAAAATGTCCATACAAAATGGATAATAAAGTCCAAAATGATTTGCTGGATACATTCAGTTTATCCATGTATCAGATCATATAATGTCCATAAGCTGATTGTCATCGAATCATTTCCCCACCTGAAATATATAAACATATGAATAAATTCCTTGGACTTCTTAAAGATGTAATAAAATGGCAGTCAGAATCTCTTCATACGGTAAGGTAACATAAATATAATCTTAATCGAGTAAAACAGTTTTAAATCTTTAAATGTAGAATTTTATATGTTGTAATAATATTGCTTTGATTGGATCTGATTTTATTTCTCAAACATTTCAAGGCCAAGGAACCTCTTAAAAATATTTTCTTACTTCATATTCTATTTTTCAGTCTGTTGGTGTGATGTGCAATGAGGTAATAAATGGCAACATGACATGTTTTAGAAATAGAATGAAATGGCAGAGCATTAAGACTTAAAAGACATTGATAATTATGGCAATTGATATTTTAATGTTAATAATTTTTAATAAACTTACAGCTTCAGTGAGCAGCCGAAGTTGCTTTTCCAGTTCTGATGTCTTTTGGACCTTTTCACGCTGGAAATAGAATGCAGATGGAATTAGTGTTTCTGCAATTCACATGTCTAATAAGTCTTGTAGAAACTACAATTAGATTTACAGCAACCAATATAGTAGTACAACGTTATTTGTTACAACCAATACAATAAGATTTGTAAGATAAGAAATGGATAGGGCAATCAATACAATACTATTCGTATTGCAATCAAAACAATAAGATTTGAAGTGCAATCAATACAATACAATTCGTATTGCAATCAAAACAATAAGATTTGAAGTGCAATCAATACAATATGATTGTAGTGCAATCAATACAATATAATTGGTAGTGCAATCAATACAATACAATTTGTAGTGCAATCAATACAATATAATTGGTAGTGCAATCAATACAATACAATTTGAAGTGCAACTAATACAATAAGATCTGTAGTTTGAACAATACAATATATGTAAAGCTTTGTCATGCAACCAAAACAATAAAATGTATAGTGCAACCAATACAATTAGATCTGTAGTGCAATCAATACAATTAAGCTATAGATCTGTAGTGCAGCAAATGCAATAATATTTGAGGAACTTTAAATGCAAAAATGTAGAGTTAGCACAAACAGGATGTAGTGATAGAAATCTGAACATTTTGTAGTAAAACATCAAACATTAATTCTTTTGAAATCCTTGTAAAATTGGTACTCCTTTGAAATGGAGCAATCTAATTATAAAGCAAGTCTTGATTGATACCCAACCTCCAATTTTTCTTCACACTACAAGTTAGTTTCTCATGTCACATTTAAATTAAAGGTACATGGCACAGATCATCAAGCTATACAGAACTTTTTACATTTCTCTTGATACAACTCACAGCACAAAAGCAAAGTTCCTTAAAGTAGAAACAGGCTCAAATGAGAAAACAGTCATTAATTAAAATAAGCCAAAAGAGTATTGACCGTGGAAGCAATCGGATGCTTTATACAAGAGACTGCTATTGATTATTGGCTGTCAAACTGAAGATTTGGGTTGAAACCTAAAACAAATCAATAATCTGCAGAAAGTGATATGTTCTCAAACATTTACTCTCCAAATTAAATTTCATCTAACCTGTACATACTATTTGAGTCATTTCAAACTGTTCTTATCATTTATACTGATTTGTGTTTTAATGCAATGAAAATTGACAGTATCATATACTTTGTTGAAGTCTTATCTGTTTCTTTGACCCTTCTCAATTGACATGGTAGAAATTACCATTATGTACTTACACATTCTACCAATCAGTAGGGTTTGTTTTCATATAATGTCTCTCAAGGTTTTTGCTTATTGCATGTATTCAATAATTAATTTTTTAATTGTAGCATGCAATTAAGAACTCAAAATAAAATGTGTCTCCTCAATACAAACCGATAACCATGTCCTGTATCTAAAAGCTTTGAATGAATGCAAAAACACAATGACCAAATGGAGAATTGTTCAATAAAAATTAAATGGGAGTGGAGTTCGAGAATATAGGCGAATGACATCTAATTACAAAGTAAACAAACGCTGATTGCATGATGTCAAAAATTGCAAGTCACAAGCCGGATATTTCATAATACATCATTCAAAGAAATAATTAGAATTGCATACCAGGACTGACGTCAAATTTTACATAAATGTTACATGATTTAGACATAAATAATCTAGTGGGTCATTAACGAAATTACCATAATCGTTGAAGTGGTACAAGGATATGGACATTTCTCTCATAACAGAATATGGTTCAGTTATATGGGAAGATTGAAAGGAAATATACCAATGATAATAAAATAAAGAAAACTGGTATAATACAGTATAACACACAACATTACAAAGTATAAAATCCCATAATTTAAGCACAATAGTACTGGATTATTTAAAAGAAAGCAGTGTTATATGCCACAGAAATACATTAAAAATCAAAACATCGGATTTAGCTAAATATTTGAGCTTTCTTATTGTAAATCTGTTTCCACTGCATGATAAAGAGTTCAATTACGCAGGACAGCAATTAAAAGGAAGCGTGATCAGAGATGAGCGTGTTCAATGTGCAAGTTGCACCAGCAGACGCTACAAACACTTTGGAAGACTATGATGACAACGACCTTGAGATGGTAGAACATTATGATCTGAATAACAATAAAGATATATTCCATAGAAGTAGTCTTTTCCAAGAAATGAAGCCATTACTATGGACCCTAAAGCTGTGTGGGCTATACCATGAACGACAATGGGGGGTGAAAAATGCGAAAGGCGACCTTGAAGAAATTGGTAATTTTACTCCTTCGCGCATCTGGAGCATTGCCTTAATCGTCATCCAATGGCTGAACATTGGAAAACTCTTGTTGACATTTATGCGAGATAATGAATTTGGGCCAGGGCTGTTGACAAAGATAATGATCATGATGTGGCATATAAGTTGTGGTATAACATGTGTGATTACTTACAAATGTTGGGCAAAGCCAGAAAGGCTCCCTGGGTTCATCTACAAATGGGAAACACTTTACAGACGAGACTCTGAAGAAACGCTAAGAAAATTCAAATACCTGATAAAAATTGGACTTTTATTTTCATGGACATTAGTTATTATTAACTTTTCATTTATTGCCTATGTTCAGTTTAACCACACTGTTTTCGATGTACTCTTAATACCATTTGAGAGGAATGAAGATGATATGTTTATTGCAAAGTTTGTATTGGTATGTATAACTGGGACAATAGTCAACATGTCATGCATAATGGGAGTCCTTTTTCACATAGCCATAACATGGCTGCTTAACAATGAATTCAAAAATTACAACAAATATTTTAGAGAATGCCTGAATGAATGCGGTGGTTTAAAAGGTAGCATCGAGACCCATCGAAGACGCCACATGGACATATGCCAGCTCGCTGGATTCGCTGATGAAGCATTCAGACTTTACCACTTGATAGGCATTGGTATTCCAATCGCAGTGATGCTGTTGATTGTTTATAACATTATGTACTTGGAAGAAATCCAAAAAGATTTATTTCTGATGATAACGATGATATCTTGGATTTCAGTAATGATGTATATCCTCATAGAGGTCTTACTGATGTGTGCTACTGTAAATCACACGGCACATGACTCCTACAATGACGTTCATTCACTCGACCTTGGAAAGATGAACCAAAAAGAAGTCTTGCAGGTATTATACTAATTAAATATATATAGCTCCTTCAAGTTTTCAATTTACACTGAGTGCTCAAGAATTTGCCAGGTATTTTAAATTTTGATAATTTTTTAAAATACTTCAATTTGCTCTTCTGTTGTTCTATTCGCCCTATGCTAGTACATTTACATTCAATGAGTAAAACAATAATTTTCACAATAGCCTATTTATGTCATTAAATAGATGACGTGGAAAAAATGTCTTGAATCTGGTGTTTTCAAATCAAAGATCTCAATTGCCTACAAACTGGCCTTTCCATTAAGACCTGAAAATGTCAAATGTCAACAAGAACATGAATATGTATGCTCAAGTGCCAAAGAGAAACGACCAAAAATTGTCACAGAGCCTCGCAAGAAAAAGAAGCCATCCAGGCCTGTAGACAGGATTTGCCAAGGGGGTTTACATTTTGAAAAATTTCAGAATTTCAGGGGGTTCACTTTTAACAACTTTGGCCTAAAGATGGCCAATATCACAATAGCTAGGGTTTGTTTGAACCCATCGAACCCCCCCCCCCCCCACTACAGGCCTGCCATCTAAGTGTACACTAGTCATAAGGAAATCAAACTCCAACTATCCCAAACCATAATCCAACGCCTCAATGTTCCATGGTTGTATTAATTATTTTGCTCAGTGTAAAATTAACGGTAATCTAAATTTAAGGATAAATATATTAAAAGTAATGGTTAAATGAATAATATCTATAGACTGAATGGTACTGAACTCCCACTTCATTATTGACCAATCATTCTACACTCCAGGTTGACTCAATACAAACATGAGAATAGTGAAATCTATAACAGATCTAGTTAATAATTAAAGCCAGGTTATTTCAAAACTATTTCATTTGTGCCGCATGGTTTTGTATTGAGAAAAGGTCAAAGAAAAATATAAGAGAAGGAAAAATGTTCACATTGTAATCTCATCAGACAAAATGTGATTTAGTAAAACATGTGTTAGTGAACCACATTCTTTACCTCTAAAATGTTTTCCACTTAGGAGGTGTTCCACTTACAGAGGTTCATTTAAAATTAGTCAATAGGTCATTGAAGTGTTTTGAATTGTTCCACCTATCAAGTTGTTCCACTTACAACAGAGGTGTTCCACTTAACAGGTTTTACTGTACTTGTGCATATTCAAACTATGGTATGTGTAAATACTGCTTATATTCAAACTGCATATGACACTCTTTAACTTGAATTGAATACTAATATCTATTCTAATCTAGGAAGTACTTCAGCATGATTGATACAAAAGAAATGCAGGTCTTTCTAGAGACCCAGAATAATAAAAATATAAATGTTTTCTATATCAGTTTATTATACCATTGCATTTAATCATGAACTAAAATGTTTCATAACAATTATTTAATGTATAAATATATATTTATTTGTAGGTGTCTGTATTTCTTAACAAGTTATCTGGACATCCTGACCAAATTGGACTGACTGTTGTGTGTCTCTTCATTATTGACAGTCCTACCATTCTTACAGTAAGTATATGTTGTCTTTTCGTCACCATGGTGATATTACTGAATACCACAGTTACAATTCTTGCAATATCCTTTAAGTAAACTTTTTTGCAATACAGGCTATCCATAAAGTCTCTTTTAACTTCCAATAAAAAGTCTGTGACAGGTGTAAAGAAATATTATTGAGACCCTGTATAATTAGATTCATAGTTTCTAGCATATTTAATATTATGAAACAATATGAGAGGGTTAAATATGTATTTTATTCAGAGTTAGATACCAAAATGAGAGAACCATCATTCATATGTTTTGCAAACCTTTATGGCTGATTATGCTTCATGACAATATCTAGGATTTTTTCATTTTGTTTTCTCTTTTATTGATGGTAAAACTAGTTCCATTCAGTGAAAAATGCTATCTTGCCAAGCTGAATGCCTTTCTTGATGGAAACATATAACCCAGTTTTTGTTTTGTCTCATTTCTGTCTCCAGTGATATCTGATACATTTTAAATCTATTGCAAATACAAAACAGACATAATTTATTGAGAAAATCTTAGAGTGACTAAAATGATAAGATAATACAAAATTATATAAAAAACGTCAATAATGAAATGCCATATTATATTATATCAATCAATCAATCAACAAATGTATTCATTTCCAGGTGTTTGGAATGCTGGTCAGCTACTTTTTCCTGTTGATTTCATTCAAACCTGCCAGCCCTGAGAGTGGATTGGCAGCAGCAGCAAGTAATTGAACAACATAGCAACTCTATTAAAACAACCTCATATCAAACTTTAGGCACATTCCATTCAACAATATCAGATGGTTAGTCAATATAACTGGTCAGTGTAACATATAGACCAGAAAACCAGTAAATCAAGGGCTGCAAATGTGTGGACTATCAGGATGAAATCAGGGATCTTATACAGAATACATTCAGTGGGAAAGATCTTAAAATGTGAGTCTGCATCTAGTGACATTCCTAGGACAGGGAAACACTGTTAAATGCATAAGTGAGCTATTCCAAATCTTGTAAATTCATTGTTAATATGTACAATCATGTGATTTGTAACTTTGGGTTATTGTAAATACATCGCCAGATTAAATTTGTCATTATAACCTTAACATCGCTATAAAATACCTCAAATAACTCCATTTTTGATTATCTTTCATAATTACTACATGGAGCATGCAATGCAGTTTAGTATAGATGAGGTGAAATATGCTAAACTTTTACATATTCATCCAAGCCTATTTTATGTTATGAGAATGTATAAACATGTTATTGAATGATTTGATGAAAACATAACAAACCTCTTCACTGTTCAACTCTGAGGCAGGCTTTACTTTTAGTTTCTCAATCTGCAAAACATAACGTAAAATATTTGACCAATCATAAACAATCTTACCAATGAAAGTAATACGTTCGCCACTTATAGTATGTGTAGTTAAAAAGTAAGCAAGAATTCAGGGTCACTTCAAAATGACAAACAACATAGCACTAGCTATATACAAGACAAGTTATAAGATATATAGGGTGTTCATAACGTCTCTTTACAATTACAATACAAAGTCTGTGTAAAGACACTTTATGGACACCCTGTATACCTTATTCCATTAAACTATTTTTGTGTAAATAGACCATCATGCTTCCTACTTCAACCACATTCCTGTACTGTTCTCTAATGTCCTCAATTATATAACAATAAATGTACTATAAAATACGAAATGTGTGTATAGATCTCATACCTCTCTTAGTTTCTTCTGGATCTTTTTGATTGCTTTTTCTCTGTCAAATTTGTTTGACTCAGCCTTATCAGTGTTGCCATTTAACACTCTAGTCACTGCTTGTAAACCTAAAGTGGAGTAACAAACATGATGCACAGTAAATAATTCTGATCTTCAGACATCTTATTTCTTACAACAATTCCAATTCTTAACCTTAAACGAGGCATTAACATGCAAAATATCACCACCTACCATTTGTTACAGATGCCAGCCACCGAACACCAAGAATATGACAGTATGTTAATGATATACGATGAGCCAAAGGTGGGCCAATTTAGCATTGATAGCAATAAGCCTATTACATTTTATCAAATCAAATCCTCACTTACTTTACTCATGACATCCAGTCAGAGATTGAGTATATAATAAAGCAAATATTTCATTCCATTTCTGGTAAACGCCTGTGTGACTTTCACTTTCAATTTTGCCTTCACAGCTTCAGGACTTGTGAAAATGAAGTATTTACTTCAATAGAAATATATTTTTGCATTGTATTCCACAGTTAACATTTCACATATATTAAAGGCTTTCTGTACTATTCCTGGATACAAAAACAAAACTGTGCATCATTTATAGTTTAAAGTATGCACTTACTTGAGGTATTATTGCCTCTCATGGATTGCAACCCCCCAACTGCTGGTGCAGCTCCCAAAGGCTGACCACCGCCACCAGGAGCTTTGCCTCGGCCTATGCCTGCCATAGCTATATACATCACATAAATTTATAAATTAAAAAAATATTAATTCAGTATTCAGCAAGAGTATCAGTTTTAAAAATATTTCACTCACTGTTAGAAGTAATTTAATCATACAATTAATAACACATTGTCTCCATTATTTATGATTTATTATTTTCATACAGCAGGTTCCTACCCAGAGTTCTTTGCATTTGGCTCTGATTGGCCATTGTTAGCACCTTAGGTTTGTCTTTGGGTAATCTGAGAGGTTGGGATACTGCAGGTTTTCCAAGATGAGTTGAGGTCCTCGGTGGAGTTGAGATCTTTGGTGGAGTTGAGATCCTCGTTGGAGTGGAGGTCCTTGGTGGAGTATTGCACATCGGTGGAGTGTTTCTGTTTGGGATGCCTCTATTTGGTGTGTTACCTCTATTTGGTGTGTTACCTCTATTTGGTGTGTTACCACCGGGTGGGGTGGCATCCATGCCAACTGGTCTAAAATAAAATATTATAAAAAGAGTACAGACCAGGTATTGTATCAATGAATAAATACTGGATGCAATATTGAATTTTTAATAAAATATGAATTTAAATATCATAATAGAATATTTATGTCTATTTCTGACCAATAATGTTATTTGAATTGTGTAGATCTTTGTATATTACTATCAACAATTTACATACATGTATATAATTGCAAATTGACTACATGAAACAGGAAGCAATAGTATTCAAAATGTAAACCCCTCCATAATCATATATATTGCTGTCATTACCTCATTCTAGAATCTCAGTTTCGATAGGTCAAAGACTCAGATGTCTGTAGTTTTGACTGTTGACCTCACAATAAATTGGTGGTTAGCTCATTCCCTGAGAGAGGTACTATTGGTAGCTATGTACAAAGTTCTAAAAAAATATTGAAACCCCCTCCCCTCTGACAGTTAACCTCCGTTGAGGTCAACAGTTTGCCTGAGCATACTTACAATGTGTTTTCGCTGTATTCATCATGTTCATCTTGAAATGTGGCCATCAGGTTGGCCTTGAACTCCTTCTTCTGTTTTGTTGTCATCCTTGAAATACACAAACAATAATTATTTGTCACATAAAACATATTCTGTTGCCTTTATTATTTCCCTTACCTTGAATTACCAGTTACCCTTTTGTTTTCTGATTCCTGTTCCTAACTCTTTGATGTCATCACAATGACATTTTAGTCGGTACAGTGTACAATATACAAGAATAACTCAACTAACTATAAAACTACAAAGATAAAAATATATATAAAGCATGACAAATGCAACTAGAAAAACAGCAACTCCACGGAGAAGCAAATCCAACCAAACAAAACATATTTTGATTATTAGTGGCCATCTTCAAAATTCCTTCTTGAGCAGAGCTTGTTTGTCCCTAGGCATCGACATATAAAATGAATACCATATCTGTCAATTAGCATTTGAGTTATATCAAAGATTATATTTCTTTTTTTTATTATGAATTGAAAATTTCTTTCACTATTTTTTCTAATACAACATATTATGAGACTCTTAGAAAATGCTAAATTGCTCATTCAGACTATTCTAACAACTTCAAATATTTCATAATGTTTCTGTTATTTGGACATGAGAAATGTACTATAAGTCCTCGTGTTAATTAACCCTTTATACCACAAGTGGGTTTTCACCATTCTGAGCACTTTTTAAGTGATTTTGGCCATTTTTGGACCAAAATTGTCACAAGTGAACCCCCCTGGAATTTTTCAAAAAGTGGACCCCCCTTGGCAAATCCTGGCTACGGCGCTGCACATGCTTATATTGTTCAAATAATTTGATTATCTTATTCAAATGAATTACCAAAAGTTTGTCATATTCAAATGCATAACCTTGTATTTATCTCATTCAAATGAATGATATAACCCCACATTTATCTCATTCAAATGAATTAGCCCATGTTTATCATATTCAAACTTAATATACCACAAGTGTGTGTTCTCAATTAATTGGATTATCTTATGTTCACAGTTTATCTCATTCAAATGAATAACCCATGTTTTATTTCCACTTACCCTGCAGTGTCTTTGAAGATGTGCTTTCCCATTGGCCTCCCACTTACAACATCAGGGTCAACACCCATTCGAGGAAACTCTGGGATTTCTACAAGCACATGTATGTTAGTTGGAGTAAGGTCCTATATTGAAGAATCTTTTCATAATTTCTATCATTTCATCATGTCATGATGAATATGGAATAATGCAATAGCAGTCATTAATGATTTTATACTTCTTTCATATATGGGTGCTTATTAGAATAGTCTGAATGAAGAATTTAGAATTTTCTAAGTCTCATAATATGTTGTATTAGACAATAACACAAAAGACAATGGCACATTTTAATTCTTTTAATTGAGAATATACATGTAGCTTGTACTTGTCAAATTCCCTCAATGGGCCATGTGACTTTACATTCTTTCTACATACCATCATCCCAGTTCTCTTTAGATTCATGCCATTCGACCTCTCTGTGGTACGAAGGCACATCCGTGTTCCCTTTCACATAAGTTCCACTGTCAAACTTTCTTTGAGCTGAAAATACAAAGTTAACATATCTAGGCTGTTAGGCATGTATTCACCCCCTCCTTACCAAAAGCTCATCAATGTTGTATTGCCATCCAGTCATTAGAAACCCACATGCAGTTGGAAAATGGTGGATGGTTAATGTTTTCAAATGTGGCCAAGCCCATATGATCTCAGAAATCATGTAGCTAAACTCCATGATGTGTAAGTGTTATAACGGCACCCAGTCATGTTAATTACAAACATGGACTGAAAGACTGGTGAACAGCAAACCTTCCCAAATGTGGCCAATATAGTAATGACCTAACAAATCATGTAGATATACTCGAGAGAATTTTGGGACAACACCTTTGCATATCCAAAAAATAATTTCACAAACAAATGCCAACAGGTAAACAAACAAACTGACAAACAAATGACATGAAGCAGAACTTCCTTATGTCAATTTCAACAACCAATCGAATCAATATATAATTATTTTGAGGTATCGAAATAAATTCAATCCAGGAAATGTAAACTTCTCTGGTTTTGTGATGTCAGAGACTCAAACTCTGATAGTTATTCTACACACTTTATTCCAAGAACTTTCCATGTCATATTTTCTCCTTTCCTCGTCTCAGATATATTTCTGTGCAACTGTCATTCCAAGCCGCACCTTCTAATCTCAGTTTCTGCAGGATATGAGCCCAAAACGCATGTATATAAGCCAGGCTGGTGAAGTCTGGCAACATGGAACAATTCTATGGGCACTTTGGAAGAACAAGCCATTTGAGAATAAGAAAGACATTAAAATCAAGAACAGGACAATTTGGCATTAAAACAACTTTTGAGGATTTCATTAGACTGTAATCTCTGACCATGGCAGGGTCTGGGACGATTGCCATTTTAACAATTATTGGTATGTATTCAAGCTTTGGATTGGAAGTGGATGTTTTAATACTGATCTTGACAATATGGAAAAACCACAATTTCTCAAAAACATACATTTTAAGTTTTAAGTAGTATGATGACAAAACTTGACCCCTCAAGCACATGCAAGAGTTTCTAGTGGCACACATTTTAATCATCAACGATTTTTGAGTGCTAATAGCTAGATGAGGACTCAAAACAAAAACTGAAACGCTTCTGTCAAAAAATTAGGTTGATTAATTAATGACTGATTCAACCACTGACAGAACATAAATAATAACACTACTGGAAAAATTATGATTTATCCCATTCCACTTTAAAATACATGTACAGTACATGTACCATCATACCTTTTTTCTAAATTCACCTGTTGTCCTGACTTTATTTCATGGTAATTTTCTAGATTTTTAAGATTATCTGGCAAAAAAGTGAAAACGTAGAATGCCCTTTTGAGTTTCAAATGAATTTGAAACACGTAACACTCTCCTTTTCTTTTCTGCCACATTAAGTTACTCTAAAATGAAAGTAAATAACATACTTCTTCACTTCATATAAATAAATTCATCATAAGAATGAATAGAACATGTATTATCATTTAAACAAATCATTCCAGTTGTTTGGATGGCATGTGGCGCATTACAGTCAGAGGGAGCAGCTATGTCAGCAGCACAATGTTTCTCTCACGGGGAGAGTCAACCATGTCCTGATACACCTAGCGAAAACACTGATTTTTGTGCACTTGGCAGGATGGGTTTCCTAATAAGTCAGAATCTAACACTTGTTATGGATTGTGTATATGTAAGTATACAGTCTGATCTTAATGTACAATATATCTTAATTAAATTTCTTCAACCTTGTATTATATGCAGATATGCTAAAATAAATAAATAAAATAAATTTATCAATCAAAATTCTTAAAATATTTCTAAATTTTAGTTTTTACTCAAGATTAAAACTGCACAAACTTTAGTATTTATGATAAGCAGATTTAACAAATTATATTTTGAAGCATAAGAATGGACTGGTTACCAGAAGGGTCATTCAAAGACTTATGAGAATTGGGTATCCAGCATTGGAAGGGTTTCCACCAAGAGAGTCCTTGCCTACAGACACAGATCAGGTAAGCTTTAGAAACTGAATAATGATACCTTCAGAAGAGGAGATTGACTTTAATAAGGAGTTGACATCCTTTCCCATTGGCTAAAAAATGAGCATTATGCATATTAAATTGATACACCATCCAATCAATTTGCCAGGAGTTGACATCCTTTCCCATTGGCTAAAAAATGAGCATTATGCATATATTAAATTGATACACCATCCAATCAATTTGCCAGGAGTTGACATCCTTTCCCATTGGCTGATAAATGAGCATTATGCATATATTAAATTGATACACCATCCAATCAATTTGCCAGGAGTTGACATCCTTTCCCATTGGCTGATAAATGAGCATTATGCATATATTAAATTGATACACCATCCAATCAATTTGCCAGGAGTTGACATCCTTTTCTATTGGCTGATAAATGAGCATTATGCATATATTAAATTGATACACCATCCAATCAATAGACTAGATGCGAGTAGAAACAATCTTGATTTATGTCATTAAATATTCAAAATTCAGTCAAAGTAATGTCATATTTGAAATCTACATGTAAAAGTACATCTAAAAATATGGTTTCGAAAGTTGTTTATCAATTTTGAAATTTTCTTTTTTTTGAAAATGTGACTTCTTGTTCGGGTTGATTCCTCATAGACCCCATGTTACAAAATCACAAAAAGTGAAATATCTTTTCTTGTATTGGACAGATAACATTTTCTTTTACTGGACATATTTTAATTTACTTAACTTGTATTAGATACATAAGGGTTATATGAAAATTGAACCACTAAAACAGTTGTAATTTAAGTTAAAGGGAACTTTCTTCTATACCCGCCATGCTATCTGACCCGAACGAGCCACCTGGTGGTGAAACTGGTAACTACCTACTCGCATCTATGTTATTTGCCAGATATGATCATGTGAACAAGCAAGAGATGACACAGGCAATATATTATAACCTCCAATAAAGCCTTTGTGGGTAAACAAGGGCATATTATGCAAATGACAGGAAACCAATTGATCATTCATTTTTTTAGAATTCCCAATTGAAAAAAGCCTATGGAAAATCATCTCCAATTATCACCTAACTTACTATTGATAATTAGTTGAAAGTTAGGTGTAAAAATTCACATGCAAATGAGCTAATTATCAACTTAATTAACGCTTAATTTGCAACTTAATTAACGATTAACTACCATCAATATGCAAATGAGCTATTTACGTAAATTAGTTGAAAGTTAGTTGTAAGTTTGATGTAAGTTAATCTCTAATTATCACCTAACTTACTATTGATAATTAGTTGAAAGTTAGGTTTAAGTCAGATTTGTGACATCTCAAAAATGACTCGCTTCTTTTTCACTCAGAGATTTTTGCTTCATCTTGAACTATTTTGTGACGGAATATTCATCTTAATTTGGATCTTTCAGAACAGACAACATTGAACTTGAACTATTGAAATTTCACAGAAAGAGGAGGGAAAACCCCATGATTCAATTGATGACATACGATTTGCTCCTTCGCACACCTTTTGTCGAAAACGTACCCTCCATCTTGGTTTTTAAAGTTTTCAAATTGACCTAGTTTTAAACCAATCAACAATCGACTCGCTAAACCAATCAGCGACGATGTCATCTCAATACAGATTTACATTATAAGCGTATGTCATCTTTGAACCCTGGGGTTTCTCCCCCTCTTTCTAAAGCTATTCTATTTTGCAAATTTTTAAGATTCATGAAAAGCATGTGAAAACATCATTATTGCCATCAACAACTAAAATCAGAACACAAACATTAGACTATAATGTTACATAATAAGGACGTAACAGATATAATCAAAAATATGCTTTGAAATGTCTTTGATCTAACAATCACTATTTAGAAGAGCACAGTACCTAACTTGCATTCTAGGATTAATATTATATGATCTGATTCAAAAAGATTTTAAACATTTCAGACAGAAGTGTGAATAAGATTTAACATACATTGTATTCATGTTCTACATACCCTTATAATAATGTTGACCAAATTTCATGGTAGTATACGCACCATTCACGTTGTAATTCTCAATTTTATGAGAGAAATATCTCTCACATGTTTTCTTTTTCCACCATCTTGAAATTAAATTTAGGGGGTTTGTATTTCTAAATCATGGGCCTAATTTACAACTAATTATCATTATAATCATCCTATATGTTAACTATCAACCAATAACCTACTTCAGAACAAAAACGTTTTAATTTACCACTTACTATCACCCTCAAACATTTCATTTCTTAATTATCAACTAAAAATCATAAATCAGCATTATTGTAAGTTAATTTACGTTGAACTTGCTACTGATAATTAGGCCATAATTATCATTGATTTAATTAACGCTTAACTTTAATTCCAATTGCCAGCAGAATTGTTGATAATTAGTTGTAAATTAGTTGGTAATAAGTTGGTAATTAGTTTTATTTTTCAGTGACATTCAATGCTAAATGACTTGCTTTGCCCCTTATTTAGACTTTCATGAAACTTTCAATTATTACAAAATTGTATGTCTTGTTTTAGGCTGGGGAATGTCTGCAGAAGTCTTACATAGCAATACAAAAGATCACAGCTTTCATAAAGCTCATCCGTGAAGATCACAAAAAGGCTGCCGATTCAAACCCCTTGAGCAAAATGTTGGCACGTAAAATCCGGCAGAACATCCAGAAAAAAATGGAACACCTCACATACGCACTCTGTACTGAGTTGAAAGTTCACATGGGTGACTTTGAATGTTCCTCCTCTGATGTTGATATGGAATTTGTGAGAAGACGATACACAACTTCAGATGACACTCGAAGATATCAACGAGACTATTTGATTCTGCGTGATGCAAAGTTTGTTATGGATGAAGTAAGCCGTCAGATTCACAAACACAGCACAGGCTAAGTCTTACCATAGTAGCATTTACACTTCCACAGTTAGTGGACCAATTCGGTGTATGTGTGTATCACACGACAATTTTAGAGGACTAATTTGAAGTTTGTGTGTATCACACAATAGTTTTAGTGGACCTAATATATATACAGATATAGCTAATTAGTTACATAGTATGATATACAAGGTAAAGCATGCAATATACAGTAGAAATTATTTTACAAATGATTAGATTCAAATCGCAATCTTACCACTAGTATACTGTACATATAATACAGAGATTAAATATATGTGCCAAATCAACATAATTCTAAAAAATTCTTGTTAAGCTAAAAATAATGCAAATAATCAACAACTCATTGAAACTTTTAATCCTTTCACAAAGCATTCACCTACCAAAAAGTATTTCATTCTCCACAACAGCCCGGTGTGGGCATTGGACTTTATGCGCATCTAACAACTTCTTGTTTCTGAACTTGTGGCGGTGATTGAATGGGCAGTTCAACAGTTTGATATGTGGGAATGCCTGCAAAATATGGTATGACTAATTGTATCATACAATATGATAGAAGAGAGAGAACATGATAATGTTTTATTCCATAAAATGGGAAAATATCATATGATCTTATTCAATGCAATGGAAGAATATCATCTTATTCAGTTCAATGGAAGAATAGGATATGATCTTATACAATTCAATGGAATAATATCATATGATCTTATACAATTCAATGGAATAATATCATATGATCTTATACAATTCAATGGAATAATATCATATGATCTTATACAATTCAATGAAATAATATCATATGATCTTATACAATTCAATGAAATAATATCATATGATCTTATTCAATTCAATGGAAGAATATCATATGATCTTATACAATTCAATGGAATAATATCATATGATCTTATACAATTCAATGAAATAATATCATATGATCTTATACAATTCAATGGAAGAATATCATATGATCTTATACAATTCAATGGAATAATATCATATGATCTTATTCAACGTAATGGAAGAATATCATATGATCATATTCAATTCAATGGAATAATATCATATGATCTTATACAATTCAATGGAAGAATATCATATGATCTTATTCAATTCAATGGAAGAATATCATCACGCGGTCCTAACTTCGACCTTTAATTTGAATTTTTGACCTACCAGATGCTTGAAAATTAAGGATTGCGAGTCTCATACTGCACCGTTTTTCTTCAAACCTATACCATTAAAAGCAAAACAAAATTGTCTTTCTGTCGGTGCATTGCTTTATTGTAAAGAGTCCCTCGTTCTAGCAGCATTTTGGTCCCCAGGTGTTAGAAGGCATTCTTACAGCTGGGGACCAAAATGCCGCTGGAAGTAGGGACTCTGTTTAAGAGAATAATGTACCATCAGAAAGGGATTTTTGTTATGCTTTGAATGGAATAAGTTTGAAGAAAAACGGCGCAGTATGAAACTCGTAATCCTTGATTTTCAAACATCCGGTAGGTCAAAAATTCAAATTAACGGTCGAAGTTAGGACCGCATGATCATGTGATCATATTCAATTCAATTCAATGGAAGAATATCATATGATCTTATTCAATTCAATGGAAGAATATCATATGATCTTGTTTAATAGAATGAGAAAATATTAAATGATATTTTTGGTAGAACAATACATGATATGATCTAACTTCAACTTAACAATTCAGTATAGATAAACACAATCACAAAGTGCTTTAAAAACTGTTAACAAATAAATAATACTTTATAATTGATATATGGATTGATGCTGCTGATAATATTTCTTATATTACCCTGGCACATCCTATGACGTGTTGTGGATAACTCTGTGCCGAGATCATGTGTGAATCTTCATACGGGCACACAAGCATTTCATCCGCATCAGGGTTTGTGGCGTAGTATGACATATTGCAACTACAATCAGCTCTGCAACACAAACCTTGCTCAGCTCTAGAAACACAAATAAAAGCCAATTAGTAAACTATCTCTTACAGCAGCCTATTGACCTTCGGGCTTGAAAATTGAAAAAAGAATGGTTGTGGCAAGAAGAGGGTAAAATTTGACAATTTATTAAGATTAATGGCTCATAACAACACGTAGGCATCTATTGTCGATGTCATCCAAGTAGACTTTTTGGCAAAGGAATCTTCAGATTAAGGTATCTTCAGGTACCTTAGTAAAAGAAGGAAATACCAAAATGATCAAAATTGGACTTGGACCCTATCATTAATTTTAGGCATACCAAGGCCATCAGATGGGGGGGGGGGGGGGGGGGGGGATGCACCCCCCAAAAAAATTCAATTTTTTCAAATTTTTTTTTACTTAACTCTCATTCATATACTTTAAAAGTGCCCAGAAATGTTTTTTGGGGGCAACTCCTTGCTCCCCCTCTGATGCAGTGGGCCACTCATCACAACTCCCAATAAGTGGTATCTTGGATTGGTCACATTTCTTAGAGATAGGGGCCACAACATCAGATAGCTCCCTGCTCCCCAAAAAGTGATTTTTTGTCTATAATAAGCATGTGTAAATGTTTCTGGCATCCATTAAAAATAAAACAATCAGGACTTTTATATCATTTCCAATTACAGACTTAAACACATGTAAGTGCAAGTGCGAAGAAATCACCAAGTGACATCTTCAATTGGCAATATTATAAGAATACATTTGTAATTGAAACTTGTAGCAATTTTTGATAAAGGCTAGCATTGAAATGACATGGGGCTGGAAAAATTAGCAAATAAAAGTGACTTTCTGCACCTATTTCCATATTTACCCTGCCATTAAGAGTCAATCCTTTGGAATGATAAATAATTCTGATATACCTGCAAAACAAAAAAATGAATGATTTACTCTCGGTCATTTTTACAAAATTATAATTCAACTACAAGCCATATGTTTTTTCATTTTTATAATATATATAGACAATGCACCTATCTTTTCTTAAATGTCTTTTGGGTGTTAAAAAATCAACTGCAACACCAACAATTTATGGAGAATTGGGACGCTACCCGTTAAAAATATGTTTTGCAATCAAATTAATTAAATATTGGCTCCGTTTACTTCATCTATCACTGGGAAACATTCTTCATAAAACATATTGGGATACTCAAAAGAGTGATGATGACAATTCGTATCTGTATTTTACAATTATCTTGTATTTTTGTATTTTACATTTGATGATGTAATTAGAATTGTATTACAACAACTTTATTTTTGTATTCAGTAGTTAGTTTAGTCTTAGGTCAATTCTGAAGATTGTAGTTTTTAGTTTTTTAGTGACTAATATGTCATTGTAATGACATCAGAGAGTCAATAAAAGATATATATATACACTGAAGGATTAAAACTACTGACTGCAAACTTCTATGCTATTATCAATAAAGGAACATTTTATTTCAATTGGGATTCTAATCTGTCCTAACAAATTGACATCTTGGATTTCCAAGGTATGATGTTTGCATACCTTGGAATATCAGGCTGAAATTTCTGCCCAAAACCCTATTAATTTGTCAAAGATTGAGGATTGTGATGAATGAGATATCATCTTATCCAGCCTACATTATGCTAATTCTTATGTATTAGGTAAATAGAAGCTGAGCAGTCAACCTCATTAGTAGTCAATTAAGGGTCATTAACTATGGTTTAAAGGGAGTCTGACCAATGAGATCTAAGTAAAACAAACAAATCATCTGATTGTGCGCTGGATTTAACATGCACCAATCAGATGGTTTGTTTGTTTTTCAGATAGAAAAGTTGCCCACTGATACCAGTGTGATTGAAAATCAAACTGGGAAACGAGTATGACAAATTGATAGTTGTGGAAAAAAGTAAATTTAATCAATTGTTTTACCATTGCTTACCCCCCTCTCCAAATTAAATTTTCCAGTCCCGGGGTTCAACATTATAATATTAGGAGCTTCACTTTTCAAAATTTACACTCAAGATTTGTAAGGGAAACAACAAAGATATTTAGGAGGCATGTAGATGAGTTTTGGGTATAGATTCAAGATTGTCCGGCTAGATTGTGGCATGTTCTAAAAGGTGTGCTGGCTCCAATTTAGTGGACTCTGTGGCCTTATCCATTGTTTAGTCATTGTGTGGTTAAAATGACTAAAAGGTGGACTGATACAAAGGCCACTGTTTAGGTATTTAGATAGAAGAATGACTAAAAAGTGGCTTCAAACTGGAGTATAAAGGGTTAAGTAAAAGGATGGTACTGAGTGATCCAACCCACCCAAGATGCATGCCTAATTGAGTCATAAAACCTTATCAAGTGATACAATCTGTACCTGACACCATCAACTATTGTATCTTAGTATCCCTTTAAAATTTTATATAATTTTGTCAAAGTAACAATTATCACAAACAATGAAGCTCTGATTTCATAACTTTACATGACCCAAAACAGCCTCGAGACAGCTTAATGTTGAAAGGTGGGGGTAAACAATGCTAAAAAAATTAATTACAAACTTTTCCACAACTCGGAGTTGGTAAGGGTATATGTGTATCCCAATTGATATAGAATTTTCCCTAATAAATGATTATGTTGGAGGAGTTTGCAATCATTAGTTTTAAGCTGTGATTTGCAAAAAATAAAAGAACTAGATATAGTTGAATTCTATTGTTGATGAAAATTATGAAGTTACGTCATTTTTTGTAAATATATCAGAATCAATAGCATTCCATTGTAAGTTTAATGCAGAGTAAATCTGGAAGAGCTGAATTACAAGGCTCTCATACTTTATCTCTAAAATCTGAAATTGACATGCTTTATAATTTTAGTATGACCACACTTGTATAATATTTGCATAATTTGTCAAACTTAAATTATCCTTCACATTCTTTTCAATGGGGACTAAATATCTTTGTTGTTTCCCTTACAAATGTTGACTGTATATTTTGAAAAGTGAAGCTCCTCATGTTATAATGTTGAACCCCGGGGCTGGACAACCAACCTTAACTCAATTTAATTTGGAGAGGGGGGGGGGGTAATGGTAAAACAATTGATTAAATTTACTTACTTTTTTCCACAACTATCAATTTGTAAGGACAGATGTGAATTCCAATTGATATAAAAAGTTCCCTTACTGAAAATATCATAGAAGTTTGCAGTCAGTAGTTTAAATCCTTCAGTATATATTTTATGAAAATGAAAAAAACATATGGCGTAGTGTTGAATTATATTTTTGTAAAATGACCAATATAAAACCATTCATTTTTTTGGTTTTGTAACTATATCAGAATTATTTATCATTCCATCAAAAGGGTCGACTCTTAATGGCAGGGAAATATGGAGGTAGGTGCGGAAAGTCACTTTTATTTGCTAATTTTTCCAGCCCCATGTCATTTGAATGGTAGCTTTTATCAAAAATTGCCACAAGTTTCGCTTATTCTTATAAAGACTAAATCTGAAAAATTGAACATGCTAAAGCCCTTGTGATTTGAGTATTATCGTTAATGGCAATTATTCCTCCAGCACTTTTTTATCACTAACATTTTTGTGGTCTTCGGCAAATGTTGCCCAAGTTAAAATAGATAATAAACTTAGATAATTATCAAAACTCTTGCTAATCGTCATATTTTCACTAAATCAAGAAAGTTAGGACAAATGTTCATATGATAATATCAGATAATATTGATAATTATCAAAACTATTGCTAACAGTTATAATTTTAGTTACATCAAAACTATCACTTTTATTGATAACTATTTCTAGCAAATGTTTCATAGAAAAGGGCCCGTGTGAACTTAGCATTATCTGATAATTTATAAAAACAATTGATAATTATCAAATCTATTGCTAATTTTGGTAATTTAACTTTTATCAAAACTATCACTTTTATTTATTATATATTTTTTCGGGCTGGCTGGTAACAATGAAATTATATAGTATCACTTGTTGATAAAAGTCGGTTTCCGCACCTAAATGAAAATTCATAAGTGCTAAATTGCATGTGGTTAATACCTTTACATACTTTATCTCTAAAATGATAAAATCTCAAATTTACATGCTTCATAATCTTTATGGAAATGACCACGCTTGATATTGAATTCACACAATGGGTACATGATGAATATAGTTCAGTCCCAGCCTTTCAGTAGGTTCGCTTTAGGTGATATATTTAACTAGGATTTCTAGGTTCGCTTTAGGTAGTTCCCCATATAAAAACTCCATTGGTAGGTTCGCTTTAGGCGATGTTCAAATATGCTAATTAGGTCTAGGTTTACTTTAGGTGATCACCTAAAGCGAACCTATAACTACCTAAAACTACCTAAAGCGAACCTAGGTAGGTTCGCTTTAGGTAATTATAGGTTCGCTCTAGGTAATTATAGGTTCACTTTAGGTGGTCACCTAAAGCGAACCTGAATCTAATTAGCATATTTGAACATCGCCTAAAGTGAACCTAAAACTACCTAAAGTGAACCTACGTAGGTTCGCATTAGGTAAATACTTCCAAGGGCTGGGTTGGCTTTAGACCACCCAGCAGCTGGGTGACTTGATTTGTTGATTTGAACTGTTTATATATTTCTCACACATTTTGATGCATTCTCACGCAAGTACATTTATTTACAATGATGGTCCTAAGCTGGCCTATGGAGGTAGCCGGGTGTCTGGACCCTACAAACTTGTGAACTGTATAGGCTATATGTCAACTGTTTATTTATTTCTCACACATTTTGATGCTTAGTTTCTCACTCAGGTACATTTATTTAAAATTCCTCCTATTTTATAATTGCATGCTTTTATAACACTTAACCTCTTGAATACCAGCCTCTAAAAAGGGTTTGAAACCAGAGTATTGTTTATTTTTTGCCAGTTTTTTTGATATTTACATCTAAAAACACAACAGTTGATGTTTGATTTCATAAGAATAGTAAACATAGACCCATTACATTCATTTTAAAACATCATTTGTGAAGATTGGATAAAAATTGCCAAAGTTAGAGCAGTTTTAGTGAAAAATTCTGTGACAGATATATCCGTCATTCTGGGTATTCAAGAGGTTAAAATAATATATTGATTGATCATTTGTACACTTACTTACATGTACTTTGTAAATGAGCACTTATGTGATGGTTATTTCAGCATATTTCCCCATTTTCCTGGCTATTTCCAAATTTCCTGTCTAACTGATTTTAGTTTGAATATTATACCCACAATGCATTGATACTTCCTGCTATCAGCGCCCCTAGTGGCTGTGACAGAACTTCTGTTTTGTAGGTTTGCTTTAGGTAGCTTTGGGTTCGAACCTAAAAGTACCTACAAGTTTGAAGTGTTTTAGGTAGATTTAAGATTTTTAGGTTCGCTTTAGGTAACTCTTGAAGAATGACTATGTTTTTTAGGTTCGCTTTGGGTTCGAACCTAAAACTACCTACAAGTTTTACAGTGTTTTAGGTAGATTAGGTTCGAACCTAAAGCGAACCTACTTTTTGTAGGTTCGTTTAGGTAGTCAGCAAATTGTGGGATTCACTTTTAGGTTCGCTTTAGGTTCGAACCTACATCACCTACTGAAAGGCTGGGGTAGTTAGCATGTCTTTTTTGCTGCTGGATTTAATGAAGTTTTTTGATATAGCGATGCTCAAATGGATTATCTGGCATACATAGTATTACTGAGTTATACATGAACATACAGGGATCATAGACATTCACTTGTTTGCTTCATAATTCGACTAGTGATCCAAATTATCACACTGAAACTTGGATACATGCTGAACTTTAACTTAATATCAATCTGCCATGTCAACTTTAAAATTTTCAGGGATGATTTTAAGCATTCTGGGTAAATGATAAGGCGATCATTTTGGATCTTCCATCCTGAATCTTGTGTGCAAAGACTTATCTACACATTTACAGATGAACCCTTTGAAAGAAACAACTGGATTAATTTAAATACCTGCCATCTGGAGATCAGTAGCATATTAATGAGAGAACAAATATATTATATGTAACAATATTCTATTCCTTGTGAGTGAATTGCTTACGGGTAACACAATCTCTCCATAGCCAGAGGGGAATGTGATGGGTCGCATCCCCTCCATAACCAATAAAAATAGAACCATTAGATAGTGGAAGAAAATAGCTTTAAAATGCTTTTTTATGCTTCTAGCTCAAAACAGATCTTATTTTTTTGTTTTGCCTTGCTTATGCCACGATTATCCACCCACTTGACTGAAACCCGAAAATTTGGTGATTGTACCCCCCTGACTGAGAGCTGACTACGCCCCTGCTCTCCAATCTACACTAAAATGCCTTCCTCTTGCATGTAACAAAGCTATATTTTAGAAAAACACCGTCTACTCATCCCGCTACTCATGTTATGTGTGTCTGTGCTCGACCCTTGGTGGTCAAACCTTCTAAATTCCATATTTTTAATTTGAAAGGAGTAAATTTAAAAATCCACATATCTTTTATTGTGCTTGGGAAAAGGACTTGATAAATGGAGGGCTTCATGACATCCCTATCGAACTTCATTTGCTGGGATAATGATATTGATAAGTTAAATTCAATTTTAGATATGTATTGCTTGAGGCCATCTTTTAGTCAAAATACTTATAGAAAACCTAAAGTGTGGCCCATAATGGAGTATAGAGGGTTAAGTCCACTTTTTAGTAATTTTGTGAAGCAATGTCTAAAAGATGGCCCAGAGTCCAGTCCATCTTTTCTTGGGGCCAGTCCACTGATTAGAACATGCCCTAGATTGTCCCCATTGAGATGGAATTAGGACTTAATTGAGGATACATCTTGGGTGGGTTAGATCACTTATCCCTTAATACTAACTTATAAATTTCTGGCACCCCAAAGATAAGATAAACACCAGCTTGTAGGCTTATGTAGCCTTTTGCCTGTATGGGTGTGTGTATTTGTTGTACACATTAAGTCATATTTGGCAATTGGCATGTACCCTAAGGCTTATGCCTCTTATCTAATTTCAGTGGGTGGTTGTACCGATGGTCATCCAACCTGTTCTTGAATTGGTCAACATTTCTTGCTTGGATAACATAACTAAACTCAAAAGCTATGCATTTATAAACTTAAACACATTAACAATGTCGAGAAATAACCAGACAGCATCTTGAAATAATAAGATTTCCATCTCCCCCTCACTGAAAAAAAAACAATTGATATATTCTGAATTTCTATGAATTGATTCCAATGATTCAAATGCTTGAAAGATATGGACCCCCCCCCCCCAATCCGACTTAAACTGCTGTCGATTTATGTTGCAAAAATTGACCAGTTTATTCTTGTGAAAACCGCACCTACTTGAAGAAAAGTGACGGGCCTGCGTACATGCATGCACTGTTGACAATTTGACGCTGGAGTACTGGCAGTAAAAATATATCGAAAGACAGTCATCTGGGAGGGCAATTATTTTTCATTCATTTTTTCAAATTATATTTGTCTTAAACTAGACTATATCATATCGGGTGTCGACTTTTGGCTTGCAACCGAAGATACCTCAAGAAAAGCCGGAGATTGCCGAAGATTTTCTTTGCAAACGAAGTTGGCCGAGGGTACCACAAATGTGAAGAGGACGTCTCTAGTAGGTCAAAAAGAGAGGCTCAGCATTCTCCGTCAGATTGAATCGGCAAAATTTGGTTGTATGGCTTACCTTCGGTTGTATGGCTTACCTTCGGCTGCATGGCCCAACCTAGATTGAATGGAAAAGATGCTGTCCCATATCATATCATGTAAAACACTACTTGTCTTTATGCTTTGAATTTTTGAGCCACAGGCCTGTTAGCAGGTAGTTCAACAAGTTAAACCTAGTCTGGGCCTTATTTCTTATCTGACATATCTTGTGGCCCGCCCTAGGTTTAACGTCCGTGCCTATTCGGCCCTTGATGCAAAAAATTTAATGGTGGCCTATGGTAGCGCATGGAATTCCATGCGCGTTTAATTAATAACTGATAGTGAGAATTTGCAACAAATGAAAGCATAGCACGGAAGTTAAACCCAACCACGGCAACAAGAACATTCAGATTAATAAATGAAAGCCGTGGTATTGGGTTTAACTTGTTGAACTAGTTAGCAGGACTCTTACAGTTTAGTCAAGTCTGGGAATACTATTTTATTCCAAGGTCTAGTCTACCCAGGTCCACATAGAACTATTTACACATGGTTTATAGATCGTTTAAAGTACTTTTTACTGCTTTTTAGCCAAAACAAAAATGTACTTACCAACTAAATAGAGAGACTTCGACCTGATTGCTTGTTTCTCGATGTCGATTAACTTCCTCCTTGGCCCTTCCTTGAAATCATAAAGAAATTTGATGAAATCTTTTGACATCTGAAATTTCAGCAGCCGTGAAACTATATCATAAATTAATTTTTAAGTTATGTATGTCGGCTGTTGCAAAATATTCTGATTTAATCTTCCCGATAAGCTAATAAGGGCAATTGAACTGACCAAATACTTGAATATATTTAATGGGTACTTTTTGATCTTCAAACTGGAGGTAAGAACCTACTTCCGCCTTGTTGGCGAAAACAAAACTTTTTGAAATCTTAATATTTCATCATTTACTCATCAACGATTGATTGAAGAGCCGTTTGATTCGGGCACTATGGTTAATGTAGTCTTCTTGCATCCAGATCTTGGAATAGGAGGTGCGGAAAAGGCTGTCATCGATGCAGCACTTGCGTTGAAATCTCGTGGACACTCTGTTGAATTTCTGACAGCGCACCATGACCCCACACATTGCTTTACTGAAACCAAAGATGGAACTTTTAAAGTCACTGTTGCTGGGGACTGGCTACCAAGGAGCATATTTGGAAAATGTTATGCTATGTGTGCCTACTTACGTATGATTTATGCTGCCATTTATTTAGTAATATTTAGTGGAATGAAGTTTGATTTGATATTCTGCGACCAAATCTCAGCATGCATTCCTGTTCTTAGATGGACAAATTCTCGAATTCTATTTTACTGCCATTTCCCAGACATGCTGCTCACACAGCGAAAGAGTTTCTGGAAGAAGATGTATAGGGCCCCAATTGATTGGTTAGAAGAGAAAACAACAGGAATGGCACATTGCGTTCTAGTTAACAGTAAATTTACAGGTAGGTATCTCATGTAAGGTTGAACAGGGAACTTTTTAAGTTACTGTGTGTTGAGTATACATACAGACTTTCTGCTCTGGGAAGCCCACTTGGGGTATTTCTGGGTATTTTTGGGTAATTTCTGTAAGTCTACAGTACATGTACATGTACAAAAATATGTGAAACTTGCATAATCACATAAAACCTAGGACAGTGCAATATAACTAGTACAGTACATATACAGTACTTGTTATATTGCACTGTCCTAAGTTATATATGATTCTGCGAGCTTCACATAATTTTTCTTTACTCACCCTGACCCGCATAATCCTTGTGCGTGAGATCAAAAAAATGTTTAAACCCAGACAGTCATCCAGATTTCTCCCTGAACAATCAGTAATGTCCCATTATAATTGCTCATTTAATATCTTATTTACCTTAGTCAGATGTGTTTGCTTTTTTAGGCAAAAACTTCCACTTATATTTATTGCATAATTGGAAAATGTTCCAAGTTCTGTATTTTTTGATTTAGTTATTTAGTTTCAAATAATTTTAAGAAAATTCATAACATATTTAAAGCTCTGAAAAGACTCATATACATGTACTGTACTCCTAGAAATTTTTGCGTGCTACAACATTTCACATTTCTCATGGGTTTTGGAAAATTCGCAAAATTCCAATGGTTCTAATTCGCAGAATATAATAGTCGAAAAATAATTGGGGAATTTATTTCATTTAATGTTCACAATATTTTTTTTCTGTGTTGGCTGATAAAAAAAAGGAAGATTCAATTTTATTGAATTTATTTTGGGTTTTAAAAGATTTTATTCAAAGAAATTAGAAAAAGAAGCTGGGAAATTTTTGAAAAGTCACAAATCTGCGAACATTACTAGCTGCAAAATTTCAACAGACTGAAAATAGACAAAAATTAATGGCCACGGAACTTCAATATCGTAAAAAAGCAAAAATAATAGCTGCAAATTTTAGTTGGAGTACAATTTTTTTTTTCATTCTTCTTCATCAATTTTAGTACATACAAAATACACATGTAATGACTGCCAAAGTTTAAAAACACTGGTGGCAGTTTGGAGTACAGTATGATCTAAATGTGAGATTTGTAAATATTCATTTTGTTAATTAACCTTTTGCAGCCAATGTTTTCAAAGAAACATTCACAAGCCTCAGTTGGATCACGCCAGAGGTTCTTTATCCAATTCCTGATTTCTCAGCATTCAACAAGCCAGTGCCAACTAAAAATGATGATATTCCGAAGAATAAGCGTGTCATATTTCTGTCAATCAATAGATACGAACGCAAGAAAAATCTTGGACTTGCAATAGAAGCTTTGGGTATATATGCTTTATTTACTTTTACACAATAGAATATTTCATGTAGAATATGACCAAGAAATAAGAATGTCATTCCAAAATTAAAAAGTTGCATTACTCTGAAAGAAAAAAACAATGCAGTAAGTGATGAATGATGCCTTGTTATAACCATGGGTTTTCAACTAGAATAACATTAAACTCAAAGATAACTATTATAAAATAAATTACAATTATACAAGGATTCTTGTTATTTAATGCACATTATTTTTTGACATAACTCTGTTGTTTTTGATTTTGTTCCTCAAAATTGTAGTTTTTTTGTGTAAGACATATTGAAGCATTTACATAAATTGCAGGTGAATTGATTGGGAAGACAGATCCAAAAGATGTTCATCTAATAATGGCGGGAGGTTATGATGAACGTGTCGCAGAGAATAAAGAACATTACCTGGAATTACGTCAACTTACTGAGAAACTTGGATTAAACGATAACGTCTCATTTTTGCGATCATTTAGTGATGCTCAAAAGAGGTCTCTGTTACATAACGCCACTTGCTTGATTTACACGCCACATAATGAACATTTCGGGATTGTTCCAATCGAGGCAATGTATATGAGGACCCCTGTGATAGCTGTAAAAAGTGGAGGCCCCCTAGAAACAGTATCAGATGGTGAAACTGGATTCTTGTGTGATCAAAATGCAAAGGAATTTTCTGATGCGATGATGAAGTTTGTGGAAAACCTTGAACTGAGTGAAAAGATGGGGAATGCGGGTCACAGTAGAGTTATCACTAAGTTCTCTTTTGATTCATTTACGAACCAACTCAATGGGATAGTTGAAAAACTGTGTAGTAATTAGCAATTGTGAATTGAATTTGTGAATATTTGAATACTCGACAGTAAAACTTGACAATGTGAATATATCTGTAAATGTTGAAAACAATGAATATTGAAAACATGGACAGTAAAAAACATGATAACATAAATTGCTTTAAAATCTCGTTGAAGTCTAGTTTTTTAATTAGATTTTAGGAGATTCGTCTTAAACTACATGTATTCAAGATCAACATTTTCTTCTCTTTGATGGCATATTTGAATTCTTTGTGTTTCTATCAAAACAACTTTGATTTGCAGTTATTTACCTTTAATCAACAAGATCATGTAGTTATATTCCAATGGTGTTCAATGTTAGTCCAAAATGGAATACTAGGAAGATCAAGAAATTAAGTGTCTTGCCATATGTCTCAATGTATTCTCTACCAACACACGTGCTGTCATCTATTTTTTCAGCAAATAAATTCATACCTACCATTTAAACAGGCAATGCGCCTATTTTTGAAGGAAAAAGGACAAAATATTGTTTGAGACATGTCACTCACACAGTCAATCAAATATGATAAAAACTTTAATTTGGGATAATACTGTAGTGAATAAAAAATTACTCGCATAGAAAACAGCATTTGAAGTTTACCACTTTTCACAAAGTGTATGTTTTGAATAACTTTTGGATTAAAAGATGGCGTATGCTTGAAAATCCTGTCAAAACTGAATGGATAATTAATGCAAACAACAATGCCATCTTTCTATGGCATTGCTAAAAACTTGACATATATAAATTCATAGATCAAAAATATTTTTTCATGACCTAGTGTCAACTCTGATGAGGTATGCTTGAGCTTTTTTTGGTGTCATATGAAAGATCAGGTGTTTATTAATCCATCGGAAATACTATGAAGATCAAAAATGAGACTTCATTTACGCACTTTGTCCCTTTAAGGATGGTTTAATTACTCAGATGCAATTAGGTAGTTACCAGTTTAGCCACCAGGTGGCTGATTCGGGGGAATTAACATGGCAGGGTATTACAAAATTCCCTTAAACTTGATATGCATCAGTTTTAGTGGTTCACTTTTCTGATAGTTATACAAATTAAAATATGTCCAGTAAAAGAAAATATTATCTGCCCAACACGAGAAAAGATATTACACTTTTTGTGGTTTTACAACATGGAGACCCCATGTTGTAAAACCACAAAAAGTGAAATCTTTTGGGGAATCTCCCCGACCTAGAAGTCACATTTTCAAAGAAAATTAATTTTTCAAAGTTGATAAACTCTTTTCAAAACGACATTTCTAAATGTAATTTTACATGTGGATTCCAAATATGACGTAAATCAAGATTATTTCTACTCGCATCGCATCTGGGATATTGTAGGAGTACTGTAATTTACATTTGCTTCGTTTGTTTTTGTTTTTTATACTTATGTTTTGGAAAATAAAGAATTATTCTTAGAAGCACTGAAAATAATTACTTTTATTATTTAGATCAACACTCATAATCGATTATTTAAAAATCATTTCCAAACATGTCAAATGTCCAGTTCTATTATTGTGTAAAACTAAGTTGTTAAAGGATAACAGTTACATAATCTAATAAATGTACTGTCATAAATGATTTACTCTAAATTCTACATTTACATATACATGTATTCAACATTTTATTATTATTACATTTTTATTACAAAAGTAAATGATATATTCCATGCATTGGTGAGGAATAACGTGAATAGCTTCTTCACCAGCGGTTGACAAAGTGCGATAAACATGTTTCAAAATACCTCATCAAGTATTGGATAAATATGTCAGGATAGTGTTTGCACAAATGTAACATTTTGTAGAATGAGACACAAATTTTAAATAATTTGTCATCATCAAAATGTTGATACATGTACACCTTGAATAGTCATCATTGCATTCTAAAAATCCACTGAGTTCCTCATCATTTCGCATCATTTCTTGATATTTCTCAAATTGTCTGTATTTACACTTGATAGTCTTCAGAATTGTCCTCATTTGCCAACATTGACAGATTAAAGCTACTCCCTGAACGATTGGCAAACTTTTCCAAATTTGTTTTAGAACATTCAGTATAGCCCTTGGCCTGGAAAAAATCAGAGAGTACCATAGATCCATTGACATACTGCTTGTGTTTGATAACTTGGGAGAAACTAGCTTCATGCAGTTTGTACATCATACAGTCCTCAATCGTTAATTCAAATTTATCGTGAAATTTCCCAGCTTCAAAAACCATTGGAGAACTATCGCATTTGTTACAGTACTTCATAGTTTCAACTAATATGTATCTATATTGTTCAACCTCCTCGTAAAAATCGTCAGTTTCAGAGTTGATCTTTTCCCAAAGGGTTTTGTTAAAATGGTCATACATTGCATAATCCACTGGACTGTACTTTTTGGAGCTTTCAATGATTTTTGGTGGGTATTCTTCAAATTTTGAACCATATCCTCTGATTTTCCACCCTTTATAGAGGATATCTTTTAGGGACCAACATAACAATCGTTTCATTAGCACTAAGGATTCATCCAAGTATTCAAGTATGATCACCATATCAAAGTTAGTGGCAATATGTTTTACGAAGGCTTCAATGTCTGCATGTATGCTAGGGTTATATCCATAATCATTGGACATGCCATTTTTAGATCTCCAACATGGATTAAAGTCACATTTTGCATAGTAGAAATCAGTATTAGACAGGAACTCTGCAACTGGATTACTTGAATTGATTCCTAGACGTTTATGAATGCTCCACATGTGGAATGCAGAATCGAGCCTCCTGATTGGCTCTCTGAGAACCCCAATGTATTTGGTGCTAGGTGGCATAACGCGATGCAGAGTTGTTGCATTAAAAACCATATGGTTCATCAGTACATTGTACATTTTACCCTCTGGGGCAGGTTTTATGTTATAGGGTAAAATGGGGTTAGGATAGTTGAACCATATTACGCTTCTGGCAGGTAGTGCAAATGTAAGATTGCGCACAAAACCATATCTTTGGAATATCCCTTGTATTGTTGTACTTCCAGTTTTGTGAACTTTTAAGAATACAACGTTTTGAACCTCAGTGCACTTTGGTTCAATCTCAATGTTAGGGCTTCCGTCTGAATCCTTTTCGATATCTTCAATTTCATAACTGTCATCATTATCATCGCTGTCATCACTATCCTCATTTATATCACTTTCATCATTATCATCACTGTCATCACTATCCTCATTTATATCAGTTTCATCAATATTATTCCTGGCATCATTATCCTCATTTACATCACTTTCATCGGTATCATCATCATCATTATATTTCTTAATCGTGATGTCAGGTCCAATGTCCAATTCTTCGTAATCCTTTTCAGATTCCTCAATCCAGTTCCTGTGTATTGGAGGCGCTTTGGCCAGCATCCGTTTTTCATAATAATTTTCCATTACTGAAGACATAATAAGCCAAATTATGCAAATCCCCAATACCAATGTTGTGTAATTTCTTATCGTAGAATATGTTCTCATAGAGTGGGTAGGCATTGCACATGTATCTAATGTCCAGTCTTTTTGAATTATTTCAATTTGAATTCAATGTGGTAATATTTGAATTAGTATTACAAATTTACAACCAAAGTGGCATATTTTAATCCATAAATTACTTGACAATGCACCAGAATGCCAAAATCAAATTAGGTTTCATTAACCTGTGTTTCCTATTGAAATAATTCCATTGATCTTTCCATGCAAAAAAACTTAAACAATACCCCATTATGACAGAAAAATTAATTGAATTTTTCTAATTAATGTTTTGACACTTTTGTTTATCATGTTTGAAGAGCGTAATTTGATCAGTAATGATTATGTTTTTTGATTCCTTGCTTGCATGGAAAATTTGAAAATTGGTTTTATCAGCAAGTGAGACATTGTCATACTCTCCAACATTTTAGTGATTGGTAATTTGCATCTGTGATCTGAGTTTGGTTTCTGTAACAATCGTTATGCTTCCTCTGAACAATTTAGAGAGAACTCATGGATTCAGTAATTTTTTTAGATTTTTTTCAAAATCTTCAGGGCAGTGTTATTTATCATGGGTGTGGCTCCCTAAATATATTACTTTGATTTTGTTAAAATCATGAAGCCCCAAAACCATATAAGGTGTGAACACAGTCAAACATTTTTTATTTTTGATATGCAACAAAAAAAGAAATATAGTTAAGTTACATCTTTCATAGAGCATTAATATATTTCCATTTTGTATATTTATACATGTATACATAAAATATACTCGTTTATTTACATTTTATACATAAAACTACACTTTTTGACAAATATTGAAATAAACATAATATTGATGAAATTTAACAATATGTTTTTCAAAAATCCATATATCCAATGGATGGATAAATTCATTGATGGACGGACAAGTGCATTCTGTGCAATAATAGGCTCCTTCGATAATTGTTGAAATGAATGAGTGTATTTTTCATACCATGTTTTCCACTTCACTTCCCATTAAGGAATTTAGAAAATTGCAGAAAGCTGAATGAACCATAGTGAATTTTTCTGGGGAAATATCAGATATTGATGTCCTGACTTCAGAGCATTTGTAAAATTCTGGCATTAATGTGATTGGAAATTTTGCAAATATTATTATCATGTTGGTTTTCTAATTGAGTGACAGGAAGTTTAGTGATTCATTATCTGTGAAACAATCTTTTAAGTCATTTTCATAGTTCACTTTTGGCTAGTACTTTATATGAAGAAGCAGATTGTCATCAGGTGAATTATGCACGTACGTGTGATCTAATGTCCCATTGTGAGTTCTTAATTATAACATATGCACACGCTCACAAACTTTCATAAACTCAACAATAGATTGACTCAGTCCTTCCTCAGGATTACCATCTGTAGACACTAGGGCTTTACGTCCATATTCTTTGGCCTGCAAATAAAGGATTTTGGATCAAAGTACATGTACTTGTAAAGATTTCCATTTTTGACCCTTGTTTTGTTTGTAAAGCATGAACTTTAAGTATAGATCAAGAATAGCTTCATATCTTCTTAGACTTTCTTTAACTAGTATATCGATTTTGTGATTCTTCAAAACTAAAGATAATAGAAAACACAATCAGGTAGAAAATGAAGCTTGATAAAACTTTCACAATACAACAATGAATATTACATGTTTTCAATAAAACATTTTTACTGGCTTCACAAGTTTACAGATAGTCTGGCTTTTACCTTTTCAATATCATGCAGTACATAGTTTAGCATAGCCAAAGCATGAGCAGATTTGGCTAGTGTGTGGGGAGTCTGGTTGGACTGATGTTCCCTCATGTCATAAATTGCATTCAACACCTGTTTGGCTTCAGCTTCCTGGGCTTCATCTGTAATGAACAAAATACAATTTTTCATATGGACATTGCAGCCTGAACACAGAATACTGTACTATTGCCAGAAGTGAAAGCAAGGACAAACCCAAGGTCAAGGAATTTTGATTGAGCTGTCATTGAAGTGTTTTTCTTTTCATGTTTTCTCATTTTTTTTGATTGTGGATCTGATGAGTTGAATCAGCTGAATGCCTCTTTAAAAACTGATAAATGATTTGTACATTAAACTATAAAATACTTTCTATGAACAAAATGAATGAGAGAAAGTGTTCATAATCGGGGGTGTTCAGAATTACAGGTTTTACTGTAAATCCAGAGCAGGGGCACCCATTGCACTCCCTGGATACACCCATGCAGTGGAAACATGGTGACGGGGTAATAATTCTGCTTGATCATAATATCACTTTCAGTGTAATAAAATATATTTACCAAGGCCTTCTTCTTCTTCAGTATCAGTTTCTATAGAGAGTGGGCCTTTAGGAGTGTCTGGTGTCTTTGTACGTATGGACACTATTTTGTCTAGGTGGTCATACCATATGTTTGTCACCTGCAAAGAGCATGTGAGTGAATTAAAGTGGATATTACACAGAAAATGGCAACACCAGGAAGTAGCAAATCCCAACAAACAAAACGATTTATTTTCCAAATCAAAATTTTCTCGAAAGTACATTCTTTACATACTTTATAAATTTGGTTTTAGACGTGTGACATATTGCTTTTAAAACATTGTTCTGCATATGCCATAACCATCATAAAATACACTTGGTCTTATAAGATATAGCAGGATTTTGAAGCTCACCCTTTCGTATAGAGAATCAGCAATGTCCATTTTGTTTTGTCTGAAGAATACATTGGCCATATGAAAATATCCTCCAGAAGTTCTTATGTCATCTGTGCCAAACTCAGTTGATGCATGGAAAATCTACAACATGAAGATACACAATGATAGATTCACAAAATTATGCTATCCACTACATGTATTTTGTTCCTCAATTATGATAAATTGATTAAGAATGGATAAAATGTAGAACGTCACTCGACTTTTTGGTGATTTTGAAGTCATGTCTGTTAACAGTTCAAAATCAACTTCTGTAGTAATTTGACACCACCTTCTAATTTGCTTCACTGACCTTTATTCTGTCTCAAAACATATTTTCTCGAAATCAGGAAATTAGGGTGATGATCAGGGAAATTTTGTACGGAATTTCTGTGGAGTGACAACTTACACTTCCTTTGAGTGTTGGTTCAGTAAACTGTACTTACATCATCAGCCAACTGTCTCAAAGATTCATCATAATCTCCTTTAGCTGCATACAGAAGTCCTAGGTTTCTGTAGAGTTTAGATTTGATTGCATTTGAACATTCAGGAGTCTTCACAACTGTCCAGTTAGCCTGGGACAAATACTCTTCAGCCTGCGCTAGTCTACCTAAACCTTGAATAAAATTGTACACATGTAAACTATGCATCTAATATAGCTATATAAAATCATGTTCTATATTCAGCGTTTACACAGTGAGTAAATGGATTTTAAGTCATGAGGCAATGTTAAAAACAAAAGGCTGAAATTGGATCTTGGCAAAACTTTATGCTCGAGGAATTACCCAAATCCTCAAAAGAAGAACCAAACACCAAAAACAAAAAAAAAACAATTAATACAAACAAACAGACTATTTACCGATGCTAGCTTCTCCCAGGATGAGATATGAAGGTACCAGTTCTATACTGGCTAAACCATGGACTTCTATAGCAAATCTTAATGACTGCATTGCTGCAGGAACAGCTTGTTCATGACGTCCTTCAAACAGTAATTTCTGTCCCGTGGTCCTCGTGAGATCTATCATTTGCCTCTGCAAATAAACAATATTAAATCACATGACCATTTATGTACATAAATTCCCATCCAGTGTTGCAAAACACTTCTCCAAACACCATCAATGTGAATATTTTTTGGTCCAATTTTTTTTGAATATGCCATACACATTTGTGTTAAAACACATTGAAATGTGAACACCTGCCATTCTGAACACTTTTAGTCAGTTCCTAATTCATAGCCTATGATCAACTGCTATGATGTTCAGACATGACAGATTTTACATGCTAGTTTACTCTCATGTATGAACATCAATATTTGCAAACTTAACTGCTTTATTTTTTTATGAGTTTTTGTTTTTTAATGTTGTCTAATTGTATTAATTAAGTAAACAATAATTTAGTTGAAGTTTCCTTTGATGCTGAGAGTATTATAAGTTTATAAAACACAATAGCACGATCACGATAAAGCACAATCACAATAACACAAATGTGGCTCTGGTTGTATAATACTAATAAGTTTCTCAATTTCATGTGTACAAACTGTTAAACTTACTTGACGCTGCACTAGTTGATCTTTCCGATGTTGTCGCTCTTCCTCTGAACTCAAAAATGGCACTTGAGTTCTGAGTGGAATTAAGAGTTGACATATTTTCTCATGTATTCCCAACCAGTCTGTTTTCTGATGCTCTACTCCACTGAAAATAAATGTTTAAATATTATTTATTTATTCATATTTTACACAACTTTAGAACAAGATCCTTACTTTTGGAATGAAACATGTCCTATCTGATCCACTGAACTTCAGAGATCTCATCTACACGTTTCCTGATTATCATTTTTCAAGAATAATGGAAACCAGGCTTTATCATTACCACGGCCATGACAGGCCATGCAATATAATATAGCATTGTCATGGTTATACCAAGCTATCACGATAACACTACCACGGTCATGGCAGGATCCTTGTGAAACTTAACAACACGTTAATAACATGGTGACGGTTGTGCCAGGCATAAGTCTTGCAACAGATAGGGTCTCGAATATTTTCATGAGCTTTCAGTAGAATTCTGATAATATCCTAAAATTGTACAAAATCACCAAAAGTTTATCCATTAAATAATTTGAAATGTTGAATGTAATGACCCTGAATAGCAAGTTAGTATTGGACTTTGGATCTTAGGGTCCAGGTTTGATATAGGACATTGAATTTGACAAACGTTCATGTCTGTATCTGGCTTGTTCACTATAGTAAGTCATTCCCCTGGGATAAATGAGGATATCACCAAAATCATCAAAAAAATTAAATGATTTGAAAAGGCTAAATATTAGGCAAATCACTGAAAGTTTATCCAAATAAGTAATTTTGAAAATGAAAATTTTTATTATATCACAGTTGTATGCAACCCCTGCTCTAAACATTATATCACGAGTGAGACACTGGATGATTTCATCTGTGTTGAATAGCAATGGGGCTGCCACATTTAAAATGTTTATACAATACTGTAGTGAACTTTATTTCACTGTATCGGGGAAATAATGTATACTTGATAGGGAAAACAGCCTCCCTTTGTTTAGTTACTAAAATAGTTAATGTAAAATGCAGTTGACTAAAAATTGGCATTCTTATATTCATGAACTGACCTGCAGTTATCTACATGTTTCTAAGATGGCCAATCACAGAATGTTTGAATGTTGGCACTTGTGAGTCTAAAATGTTCCCAGGTAATTTATTCCATTCCACTTTTGTTCTTGGTATGAAACCATATTTAACAAGTCTGTCCTAGTATTGGGGATTATGAATTTGAGGGGATGAGAGTTCCTTGTTGTGACGAATTGGTTTTGGGGTCTGATGTAGGGAGGGATGTTAATGGCTACTTTGTCATTCATTGCCTTCTACATGTAAGTTTATTTAAATTGGAATTATCAACAAATAAATTTCGGGAAATTCGGGGGTTTCGAGAAAACACTCCCTGGCCAGAAATTGAATCCCCTTGGCTTGGCTATAAATGCGGATTTAATTTTTCAAATCACCCACACAACTACTTGTTGTGTATTGAAATCTTGTGGTTTTAAAATGTCAGTAGCAAATCCTGGTTATCAGGCCTGCATGCGCAATAGCAATGAAGAAATGAAAGGGGAATTTCACTTTCATAACCTGGTGAATAGAATTGGGGCCAGCAAATAACTAAATGGGAAATATCCTAGAGAGATCACTGACATTGAAAATAATTTATAAGTAAGCTTACTAGTCTTGGTTAGACCTTTTTCTTTAATTTTTGATTTCAGATTTGATCATTGATGATCATGATGTCTTGAAAATATTTTTTGTTTGGTTTTGAAACTTACCAATAATAAGTGACTCTGCATTTTGTACATTGTATAAACGCCGGTTTTTGGCAAAGTTCGCACAGAAGTTTTATTCCCTTCGGGTTCGCCAACGGATTCAATGTCATATTGAAGATAATTAGCGTTAAAACAGTATTTTGTAAGACATTTCTTGAAAAAGTTTTTGTTGCTAACTATGCTCGCGCATGCGCAATCTGCTTACTTCCGCATGGAAATGTCCAACGTCAACATGTGAAACGAAATTAATATAATATCGATTCATCATACTTTCCATTTATTTGACTCGTGTTTGTTCCTTTTTACTCAACGCCAGAGACAAATTCAGAACAAAAATCATTACTTCAAGGCAATTTTTACAAAGACTATAAAGCATGTCATCCTTTTCAAGGGGCGGATAAATCTAATTTTATCCCCCTCCCCTCTCCAAAAGGGGGATAATTGTGAGACCTCTCAGGTGACACTGCCTAAACAGAATGATTCATAGGGAGCTCTAAAAAGATAAATTCATAATGTGAGCTAATTAACTAATACTTCAAACCTGTTTTTGGGCCGGGGTTATCAACATCTTTTGCTGTCCCTTTTTTATAATCTTTGAAACTGGGGGATGTGTATGTCTCATATCCATATTTTGCATTACCATTTAACTGATAATTTCAATGGTAAATGGTTTCATTTTTACAATTTGAATAACAACATCTTAAATACAAATATCCACATAATTTATTACAAAGAACTTATGGCATACAATGTATGATTCATATTTCTATAAAAAATAAATGGAGATCTGTTTTTGCATACATTTTGTTGTGTATTGTGCATTATAAGGAAAGTGACAAAATGCTAATTGTCCATATTATTTCAAGGCTAATCAAAATACAAAATCAGTCAATTACCTGAATATGTCAACACCCTGTGGTTCTTCAAGAATACATGTAACAATTTCCTTGTAATAAAGCCCTGGGCTGTTAAATGGAAGTAAGACCTTACATCTGCTGAACATATTTTTTGAATGGAAATTTGATAATTTCTCCATAAATTAACCACACACATTATTCTGAAAGTTATTTCAAAATATGGTCCATGATAATGAAGGGAACTTATGGCAAGACAAATCCCATATACTATAATTACTATATTCAGCATATACATCTGCATAAAAATTAGGTTTTAAATGCCAAAAACAATACATCTAAGCCATATTTGAGCTTTTGTGTTGTTTTGGTCCACTGAAACAACCATGTACAATGTACTAGTCATTGGCTATATACTGCAAAATCTAGCATCATTATCATTACGAGTTACATCTACATATAGTAAATGTCTGTTTTCAAACATGATATGTTGTGCATAGTGTCCATATTTTACATTTGAATAAGGATTTATAGAAAAGGGACTAAAATATTTTGGAAACTCATTGCACTTGAGTATTACGTCCATGTAATATAAATGTACAGAGTCTTTAATTCATCTAATACTCCTTCAATAGTACAACTTCAACCTTATCATGGACACCTTGTAGCAACAGCTCTCCATCATACTTGACAATCTTCTTGCGTTTTGCTGCTCTGAGTGTCCCAACCAAAGCTTCAAATATGTTAGCACAACGGTCATCATGGAATAAAACTCCAAATGTGGTAGCAATCAGTCCATCAGAATCTGGAATAAGGTAATACAAAACATGCATTAATTATCTATATTGTATGCAGTGCATTAGTTGTAAGTTACTTGTTTCTTTATTTTAAAATGAAAGGTTTAGCTTATTGTAGTCTAGTCTATCTAAAAATTATCTATGAATATTCATAGTATTCATAGTATCTGGCCGTTTTACTAGGAGTATCCTCCAAACATCTTGTTTGAACAAACAAAGTATATATCTGATACATTTCTCTTTGTAAATACTAAATACCCAAAATATAATCAATAAATAAATATAATCAACTTACTTGGAGCTCCAAGCCTTTTAATTTCTTCTACCAAAAGCTGTACTTCATGTTCTACATTCATGGTGGCTTTGTATTCAGATACCTGAAAAGCAATTTATTTTGAATTTGAGGAAGACGATATAAGCAAATGAGGAAATGTTGACTCAATGAAGAAAAGGAAGTGCAGGCAAACAGTGTGGTGATAATCATATACAGTTGATTTGTCATCATCAAACATAATGATATGGGATAAAAATCATTTTTTGTTTGATCTACCTTTGATTATCCTTTATCATAAGTGTATTCATCTAAGATTATGAGAGCCAAATATAACAATACCCATCCAATAGCTATTTGAAACCCCATGATATTACATTTTACAACAGATTCATTGGGCATATAGATAGATGTGTCATTTGAGTTTTCCTATTTGAACGGTTACTGTAGATTGAGACAAATATAAAATGGTATAAACCAAATGAAAAATGCAAAAATGTTAATTTGTATGCTGGTCTCCAACTCTCCATCCATGTCACTCTCAGTGACATTTGTCACAGATTCTTTACAAAAAAAAAAATTTAGAAGTTCATGAAAGGAATTTTCAAAGTTAAAATGTAGCTTATTGAAACACCAAAAAGTTACAAAATAATTACTTAAATGACAAATGGATATTCATGTTTAATTACAAATACACAAAAGGTTAGCCTACCTTACAGAAATGGAGAAAACAATCTTTGAAGAAGATACTTTTCGTGTCTGTTGTATGCGGAAGTAAACCGGAAATCCACCAATAATTAGCGATGCGCATGCGCCATATTGAAGTTTACGCATGCGCATCGGGATATTAGGCCATTTTTCAAAATAATTTCACCTTTATTTTGTTTATATTTTATGGATTTTCTACATGTTAAAGACCTATAATGGATATAAATGACACATAGGATTTACCATGTTGAACCCAAGGACCCACCTACAGCCCTATTTAGGCAACTCGTTAACCATACGACAAGAAATCCAGAGGTTTGAAAGTGTACATCCGAGCATCTATGCGATTTATGATTTGATCGAAGCAATTCCAGACCCCCTCATTCAACAACAAATACGGGAACATGTCGTCTGCATCGAGGGTATGTAGTATATCTTACTTATTCTACATTCATTCATCTTCAAGCAGACAAAGAATCAGATATTTCAGCGATTCCTTTCAGTTTGAATACACTCTTTAGAAAGGTCACCCATTTTGGAAAAGGCCCAGGAAATAGCTTTATTTTCATTCACTTCAGTGATTCATTATGACCAAACTCTTTGATCTCTGAAGCTTACCTTTGAACATTAGCATTGATCCTGAACAAAACAGGACTTCATATTACACACATATATACGACTGGTGAACACATTCATATTCCATTATTGATACATTGGCTTTGTACTGTGCCAGTCTACATTTACCTATACAGTTTTACATTCAATAATAGAGGCCCTGGGCTGAGGTAGCTTTGACACAAGAAATGGGGTATCTTACTTATCCGACACTTACTTATTTAAAACTCTCGCTCTATGTTTGATATCGGTAGTAATCAAAATCTTGTAAGATATTTATCCTCGATTGGAAATTAAAGCCACATAAACAACAAGGTGTCAAAGTTACTTCAAGATGAAATGGCATCAACATTTACCTCACCAGACGTCTTACACCTTACAATTTCAAATCTGACATTTTAAAACTATCACAAATAGCAAATGTGAGATTTTCAGTGTTGATGCATTTTTCGAAGTCACATTTGTTCCTCCACGAATGTCTGTATTATACACCTATCATATCATTAGGATGTAGGAATCAACCACAAATGTTAAACTGAATGTTCTTTCAAAAGGTACATTGTATTTGATTGCACTAAATACATCTTTATATTTGAAACATATTACACGCCTTGTAAACTTGCCAGCTTGGTCACTTTGACATTTTTGACTCATTTGTACTTGTGTACAAAGTACATGTATATGTAGTTATAAAAAGTGAACAAATGTATTGAACAGTATATCACTATTTCATTGACTCAGAGTTCAAAATGAAGCATGTAATGTGATAAGAAAGAATAACATAACTTTTTTGAAGAATAAATTCTAATTAGGATTCCTAAAGATAAGAAAAGTTTGATTGCCAAAGATCTGATAGACCATTCGTTACTTATAACCTTTCTTTCAAAATTTGCTCTGAAAGATTTGGCAGCTTTGCATGAAGGAGAAGTCACAATTTGAAAATTTAAGCTGATTATTTTATTTTAAGCTGATTATTTTATTGTTACAAGTAGGTCGCAGCCATAACAGTAAATATTAATCCAATAAATCTGTGAATTGTGGGTAAGTGTTGTTGACCTTGAATGAGTGCAACGGACAAAACTCAGATCAATATAGATTATCATAATAGTGAATAATCTGCTTCAGAGGCATTGTGCGCTATTATGTCAGAAATATACAAATATAATTTGATCATAAATTTTTGGGTCATACACTGTAGATAATATCAGAGTTGCTTAAAATGTAATGGAAAAGTTGCTGGATTTCAAGCAGATTTTTTACTCAGTGCTCTCCCTAATATGTGGAGGATTTTTTTAGTGTAACAATTTATGATTTTGTAATTTTTTGTTCAGCATTTTACAGTTTTGTATTTTCTTGTGCAACATCTAACTACATTGAGGAGCATTTTGGTTTCATAAAATACATTGAGGTGCTGTGTCTCAGAGATTCTGGTGTGGGGAGAGCACTGGTACTTATTTGAATAAACTGCAAACTGTAAAATAATTTGCCATAAATAGATCTTATGTAAGGGTCAAATAAGTCTCAATTTCATTATAACTTCTGGCTATCAAAAACATAGATTGTTTTTTGATAAAGGTCAGCTATGTCAGACTGATGTGCAAAAGCTTGTAAAAGTTGATTAAAAATTTGTAGATTGAGAATGCTGATAAGAATATTGAGATTGAAAAAACAGATTTTCTGTACAGTATACCAAATGAGTTTTTTTCTGAGGAGCTGTCAATATATATTTCCAAGTTGTGTATTTCATAAAGGATATGGGGAGGTTCTTTAATACGAATGAACCTTTCTGTATACCACGTGAACTTGTATTGCATACAGATACTACTGATACAGTACTTGAATGAAGTGTGTTCTTCTTCGGTCACAATGCTCTTTTACTACATCATCAGTGAGATCACTGTATTTTCCACATGCTCTCTCTTTCATCTAGATATAAAGTTCGGCATTGCAAGTGTACATACAATCATATTTGCTCAGTTTTCTTTTGATATAGGTAATGTGTACAAAGTTTAAGCACAGTGTTTATGTTGTTTATTTTTTCTCTTTTATAATCTTAATGGGTACTTGAATTATTATCAAAAGAGTATTGTGTTGTAAGATTCATGTTCTTTGTATATTGTATTACCCTTTGCAAAATCAGGTTCCTCTCATGCTCTTCATAAAACTGATACACTTTTCCAACTTGCTAATCCCATCTAAACATACATCCCTCAAACACATTTCTATTTCCTTGATCTACGATGTAGGAATATCAACGCTGATCTGTAGTTCCATCTGATTGGTTGATCACCTGACTGTAGAATCATAGCCCAGAGAGTTGTTTGAAGGTTGCTCTGATTGATCACTTGGACTTATATCAGAGAGAGTATTTACAGTGAAACCTATATATTTGAACACCTTTCTTATCTTATCTGTCAGTTCTAGAGGCATTGGGATTAGACTGGTTCTACTGTGATTATATAATGCAATATCCATAAAATTACCAGCTCAACTTGAAGGGTTAATGAAAACTATGTGAGATACTAGCATAGCTGGGGTTGTATAGTAATGTGATAGAGCTTGCGAGGCTAATATGAAGGCATCTCATGTTTATTTGGAATGTTTATGAAAGTGACTGATCTATTGGGGTTGTGGTCAGAGTCTAGGCCTTGTTGATGCATTTACAGCCTAGAGTTGTACTCTAGGGCTTTGTTTATGTACCAAAGGGTAATTAGTAGATGTGAGTCAACATTTTGGTAACAGTGTGGATTTAGGAAGGAACTGTCGACCTACCCATTGGTAACACCACTTTTTTGGGAAGACACAGAGATATTAAATAAATTTTGATGTTTGTAAAATAACTTGAAAAACATGAAGGTAGTTTTCGAATTCTTAACTGCGATTTCTACTGTTTTAGAAATAATGTGATTTTGAGAAAAGTTCATGGAAACCATTTTTCTCAGAACTTTTTTAATTCGGTGCATTTTGCTATTATAGACACAAATGGTATGAAAATGTTTCAGAACATATGCTCTTCTCTTTGAAATTTTCTTGCTTTCCGAGATTGAGTAATAAAAAGATTTAGGTTGATTTCAATTTGCCAGTATCTTTGCAAGTGTTATTACATTCACTTTTATGTACTTTATAGCAGATAACTGCTCCAGATTGCTCCAATGGCAACTGGGGTCAGATCAAATGTACCACTTAGAATGATAAACTCTAACTCCAATGCAATGATAAGCCTTGATGAGCTAAGTGTACCATATAATCACTGCGCTGCACTAGTAGACTGGGGGAGAGAGGCCAGGGGAGGTTTGCCAGGTTTTTATCAAATTATCAAAAGTTTATTATTTGCAATGTTTTGGTTCGAAATTATAATTGCATTTGGGTTTAATTCAGTAACGAAAGGACGTTCCATCCAGTTTTGAAAAGTAGTGCAATTGACTGTTTGTAATATTATTGCCAAAATGTCAATACTACAATTATAGGGCTCAATTGATATAAGGCTTGTTGTACATAAATAGTTCTTAGCCCCACTGACCTTGCATACTTCAAATACTGGTTTTACTTTTTATATCTTGAATACATACTTCCATATGGTTTAGTTGATTAAAAGTATCACATTCCATCAACAATCATTTTATGTAAAAATTGTTGGAAATTTGACAGATAATTTCATGGTATTACTTCTTCATTTATATAATGGTTAGTTGCCAAAGATTATTTAAAGATTAAATTTGTTAGAAATTTAACTTCCTGTGTTAAAATGGTCCTTGTGAGGGGATGGAATCATTTTACTCAGGACCCTCCAGAAAAATTACAAAAGGCAAACAACTTCATATTCTCTTGAATTCCAAACATGTGTTGACATTTATAAATAGAATAGGTCCCAAAATAGGGTGAACACTCAGTTTTCACTTGATGTTTTGTTTTCAAACAACAAAGTCATATTACTTTTATATCATAATATTTTGATATACCATAAATACATCACTACAGGGTGATCCAGAAGTAACGTCAAAGACATTGTAATTTCAAAAGTATTCATCAGATCTTCATGAAATTTGGTATACATGTACCCACAACATTTCTGAGTTACCATCTCAAAGATTGGAATTCAATCATCTCATTGGTTGAAATTATGGTTGCTATAGTAACCTGATATCGCGTAACCCGGGGCAAATTGAAGAGAAACCATAACGTTTTTGTGAATTTCTCTAATTTAAAAAGTCAGTAACATTTGAAAATGTTCATTGTTTGTTTTCTATGATTTTTATATTTGTTGCCATGGTAACAAATATGTAATAGTTGTGATGTCACAATAGGCATTCATAAAAAGCTTTCAATTTCTTTGAATTGCTTCCATCATCCATGACAAATACTAACATGACCAAGGACACTAACCCACCCAATTGACCTTTTGCGATCAGAATTCAGGAATTTTGTTTATGGATACTGTTGTCACGTATTTCGTCTTATTGGTATGACGTCATATAGAAATGATATTAGACATGATGGAATCACGAAATGGCGGACACGTGGCAGTTTTGAGCTAAAAATATTGTCGTTTCTTATATAAAAACCATGGGTCGGATATTTACCAGGTATGCCTATTTGACTAGATCATGAGTATGTCTATTTATATGCGAAGTTTGGGTGAAATTCATACTAAACATCGATGCCTATAAGCGCCCCCCGTTTTTGTCAAAATCGGGGGGCGCTAAACCGCTATCTAAATCATGTCAGTAAGACCTTAGACTTGGTATGTGCTTAGCATGAATGTTGATCTAGTCAAATAGAACGTTTTCAGAAAAATAAATCAATAAAG